CTACGGCTTTCGACGTAATGCATTACAGATAAATCAAGTGATTGAGCCGTGCGCCCGAGGACGTCAAGTTCGTTTGTCTGAATTCACACTGCCACACTCTTGGAATACTGTACTTTATAAAACTTGCAGAAGATGTTAGAAATCTCCACTAAAATTACACGCTGAAGACGAGCACGTCTATGACATCGAGGCAGATCTGTTGGGGGGGAATGGAGCACAAACGGATAATGGCAAATTCGACGTTTTACGGCCCGTTGTGTGCATATTGATCTGATGGCTCAAGCGCGTTCCCCCGGTTCTAACCGCCATCCGTTTCGTGATCACGGAGTATCTTTAGAGACCCTCTGTAACTACGCCTTCGAGAGGCGAGACACTTCGACAGCAAATTGAATCAAGACATTTGTCGGCCAACGCTGTACAAAGGTTCAGCAAACAATCACATACAATGTCGAAAAACTAAATAGTCCAACCCTAAGACGAAGTGATGTGTTTCCGCGGTCCACAGATCCGAGCAATGGCTCAAAATGTTAGCTAACATGAGAATGTAGGCGAAAGATACGTTTCATTCTCTCCCAAGCGCCAGCTTCAAGAAAAGCGGAGAACGCCCCGTCCTGGATCGTGCATCGCTCCCATCCCATTACTGCGTAGGTAAGAGGAACGACCGCAACGGCTGGCTTTTGTACCTTACAGGTATTGTGTGAACTTTAGTGTTCCTCGCTAAGTACTGAAGGTGTGACCTGGCGTCTCCATGCTGGCAACCAGCGTACCTGAGGAGACCGATTAGCTCATGGAAGCGATAAAAATTATACGAGTCTACGAAATCTCGGACAAGGGCCTGGAAAATCATTTCATTTTGATGCTCTTGAGAGAAATAAGGCGTAAAGAAACAGTAAGCATGCCATAAACGATATTTGGATAGTCGTAGGTGATGTGCCGTAATAGCATGGTCGTGAACACTACATACCGGCCGACGAGCTTCCCTTCGATCCCGTCAGCAACCCATGAGATTGAACGCTCAGACTGCCCACCTAGGTAGTCTGAGCCCAGCCCCGTGATGAACGAACAACCAGGCACGGTCTTCATCTTCTGCCTGCCTCTAAGCATAAAGCCCAAAGAAAAGTTTCCCAGATCACCGCCAGAGATCATGTCGATGAAGTGTTGACAGGGTCAGACTGTGGACCAGTGACCGTTAATGCAGTGAGCAGAAGTCTCACCAACCTCAGCCCTGACTTCGTGGTGAATTCGTTTGTTTACTCTACTTACATGTGCCTCTGACAGCTCAGCTCTCTGTCTACAATAATGTCTTCCGAGTCTACTACCCGTGATCATACCGAGATTTCCTCATGGTTTGACGCTAGTCTTCATTGTTGCATTGGGTAGCCTCTGCAATTATCTCATTATTATCTGATATTATTGGTTGTCTACATTGACGATGATGGTATCCCCAAGTGGTTGTATTGAGGAAAGCAATAGCCTGTCTGCGGATATTAATACCGTCATGGGTGGCAAGTGAGTAGTCCCTCGCTCAACAAGCTCTAAAACACGCAAAACTCCTTCGGACAAATGGGTCTTGAATTGTTTTTCTCACATGAGGGGACAATTCTAGGTCCGTTCGGTTGTGTCCACACAATGCCGATGCGCCCACCCATTAAATGGTTGACCGTATTCGGATCGACATCAACGACGGCAACAGCCAAACTCATCGTGATCTGGCCATGGGTGATGGAGGAGCTTACTGCTACGTCAACTGGTCAAACAACATGGGCGAGGAAAGGTAATATGTCCTAAGACGTCTTGGTCGTTTTTGAAACCTGTGTTTATTCTGTCATTGGAGCAGTTTCATCAGCGATGTTTCCCTGTGGCGCACCTCTGAGAAATTGGAAAGTGTTGCTAGCGGATGGCATGGGATATTAATGAGTCTCTCGGCGGAGATTGTCTCTACATCGTGTGGCGGACCAAGCAGTGTGCCGACTCAAAGTATGCCTTAATTGTTGAAGAGTCAGAGATGTGGTTATCTAATGTCAATAATAGTCTTACAAGTACGTTGTTAGTAAATATGATTGTTTTATCCCTAAACTCACTTAGGTCTAAAAATCTTCTTCACATTGTATGTGGTGCCATATATAGCTGGCGATGGAACAAAAATCTGGAGCACGCGTCCTTACGTCTGACATCCTTTCAATATCCGGCGGTCTTCTTTTTATATTATTCCTTTTACATCCTATACCTCAATTCGTTGCAGTATGCTTAGGGAGACAAGGTTAAAGCCTCTCGAAGATCTTGAGTAGTCTATGAGGGGAAAAGCCATCACGTAAACGGGCTTGACTTACGTATATTGTGCTTTGTTTGCTGCAGTAAAGTGGCTCCTCTCGATGGCTTGTATGAATCTCCTTTTTACTCACGCCCAAGTTTCTTTCGATATTGTTCTAAATCATGAACCCTGCCCGTGTGCGTATGTCTTCTTGTTTGTCTGCCCAGATCTAAGAAGTGTTTGTCTTTTAAGGGCGCCCATCTGGTCAGTTTGGATGACAAAAAGAAAAAACACCAACTGTGCTGGCTACTTCTTGGTTGCAAGGAATAGTATCAATTCGTAAAAGACTTGCATTTCCAGCGTTTTGTGCATTATCTACGTTCTTCGTAAACTCCGGTCTCTTTTGATCTAGACTGGGCTCTATCCCTCTTCCTAAGAAACAGTCTACTGCTTACTGTCAGTTGATAATTCTATATCCTTCTTGTCTCGTAAGAAGAAGCTCTTAATCTGATTGACGCATAAGTGATTCTCTTATAAAACATAACCCAGAGTAATAGAAGCGCGGTAATCGGCAGCGAAATCGCCCAATAGACACCAACTAACCTCTCGCCCACAGGGAACTCCACCGATTGAGAAAATCGCAGAGACTACCGATAAAGGAACGGGAAAGTGGCGATCTTTGTAAGCTGAGTTGCCCTCCTTGCCTGGCTTTCTGAAGCCCGGGCTTGAACTTGAGTTATGAAGGCGTGGTTTAACTCCGCCGTCGTTCAAAAAGCTTCCCATAGTGGCACAAGGAGCCTCTTCTATCGCCCCCAGTCTTTGGTCGATAATGACCCAGCATTTGGCTTCCAATTGCACCTGGCCACGAGCAAGGCTTGTATGGGTGTTTGAATTTTCATTCAACTCCAAATCTCGGCTCATCTCCATCGCTTCTGAATTTGCCGCAGTAAACGGATTCTTCAGCTCTAGGAGAAGTCGTCTTTGTTTCACAATTCTGTCTAGGTGAATGAATATGGTTATGTAGTTTTTCTAAATCGAAACTGTAGTTTGTAGTACTGTTCTCAGTGATTTTGTTCCATTAGTCTCGTCAACACGTAGTTGTTCAATGTGATACGCGTATTGCTGATACGTCGAGTTGTTCCACGCTGAATAGATTAAGTTGCCGACAATCATCACTGCAACGAATGGGTCGCTGGAGGGTTTCATAACCCCCCATTTGTCGCTATAAACCTCGTTAAGATCATCGTAGAGAACTCCATGAGAAACACAGGAAGGCACCACTCGAGAGACTAGTGCTTCGGAAGTAGAAGAGAATGTTCAGAATTTTCTATTGGAATCTCATCGACTGCCAGTTGGCTACAGTTACTTGGCCTGCGGGATTGTAGCCATTCAGAAATAGACAGTGTAAACTTCCTTCCAATCCCATATCTATTTTCCACGGAATTTGGAGAAATTGTGTAACGAATTGTGGCTCATAATGTACCTATAGCCAACTCGCAGTCGATAGGATACATTGTAACCAGCCACAAGTGCATGTGTGTAGGCGATCCTGAGAGACAGTCCATTCCATAAACTGGTCCCCCTTGTCGACGAAGGATTGTGTTGGGAGGATCTACAAGGATGACAGCTTGAAATGAAACACGACTATTAGCATCCGAGCCAGGTTTATACTTGAAAATAAGTTACATACCTGTACAGCTATTGTCGCCATGCTTATGGCCCCCAAAAGAAACCAGACTATTGGAGTAAAGGAATCAAGGTTGGGCATCAGTCTTGTTACAGCACGGCGAAATGACCCTGTCTCAATATGGATTTGTTCTTTTTCCGGTATTGAACTGGTACAATGCCATAATCGTGGGGCTGGAACTCTCCAATATTTTGCGCGACCTTGTTGGTAAACATGTCATCAGTTAGCGCTAGAGAGAAGCGGTCATCACGGGGCAAGCCAGAAAGCCGGCGGGATGTTCATTTCTACGCTAAGTATCTCTGCGAATCTCGGAACTATGTCCTCCATGAGAATTGGTCTTCGAAACAACGCCTTGGGATCTTTTCTCCGGATCTCATTGAGATAATTGTCAAGATATCCCAAGCTATGTGGCAGTTTAATGTTGTATGTGTATGGCTTTGAGTCATCCTGGAGAGTTCGCACAGACACCCTAGGAGCCTCAGCTGAGATAACAAACGGAATCTTAACAGTACGTTATCAAGGAAATTGATGAGGAGAAGAACTGTGTTGTCCGCAGCGGCTAGTTGAAAGAAGTCAGAGTATAAGTCCAGACGCATTGTTCAAGCTCAAATCACTGTGAGACAAACGCGCGAGGGGTTTCGGACCAACCGCGCTGATTTGTCCACATGACACAAATGACATGGATGAGAGCAGGTTTTGAACCTGATCTGTCTCGGCAATTCCGTCATTCACTCAGTCATTCATTAATCCATCAATCTGCTCGGCCGCCTAGCCGTCCCATACATCTATCTGGCTGGGTTAATTTTATTAAGTCGTCGGAGGTTTCGATTTGGTGTTGCAAGATTTGCCATTATCTCTCGAAGAGAGTGAACTTGGATAAGTGGTGGCTTCTCTGATTCCAATATACCACGGTGTCTTCAGTTAACAAAAAAATCAGAAGCATTGGCACAAGGTTATTGTACTTATAAATATGCATTCCTTGCCCCTTACCATGGACATACGAACACATCTGTAGTCAACTCATAATACAAACACCCCTGATGCCAATGTTTGCTGCTCTGTTTAATCATGCACTGCAGCTAAATCCATTTCCAGCATGTCGACCTCATCATCCATGGCTTGCAGCCCTTCCAAACTCCCGGCGACTCCCTTGACTTCCCGGATCTGCCTCTGTTCCAAAGTTGCCCTTATTTCCTCCAAATCCGCAATCTGTGTGCTCAGCATAATCTTTATCGCATCGCTGCTTAGACCGGCAGCGTCCACACTTGAGAGGCCGCTTCTCAAGCTTGCGATCTGGTCCAACACGGCTTGTTTTTCGCTGCGACGCGGTTCAGAATAGCCCGACGGCTGAGCGCGTTGCCGAAGTTTTGCGGTGATGCGTCTGATGTGGCTGATAGTCTGACAAGCTGTAGCGCGATTGATTCGGTTGGTTCTTCTGAGATCCTGCTGACATACGCGAACATGGTGTGCCCATTTACCAATGTCATTGAGTAAGTCGTCTGCTGCCTCGACATCTACCTGTTGGGCAGTCGTAAAGTTCTTGAGTGTCTCCGGTATTTGGACTGTTGTAGTGGTCCTTCTGTCAATGCCGAGTTTTATGTTGTGATGCCGCCGGAGTTGTGCTAAAATTGGCGGTTTTCCCGCCGCCAGCACTTCGCCTCGGTCTCTGTTGTCTACACGCGAGACAGTATTATCGCTCTTGTCGTCGTCGTCAAAGGTGGCTACCAGGAACGCTGCAAGCACACGTCTCCACAAGACCCAATCTGTCTGACGAGAAACGGGCACTTGAGCGAGAACACAAATCGCATTGACTATTACAGCGACTCCACAGTCGTCTCCGTTGATCTGCAAGAGGCTTGGCCGTACCTGAGCTGGCCAAGCTGAAATGGAGGCCAAGGTTGGAGTCTTTCCAGCCGCTTCTTCGGGACTTCCACCGTTTGCTTTTTCCGCCGTGTCCACCACCAAGAGCTTTGAAAGTCTCTTGCGAGCTTCGTCTGCAGTGAAGCGGAAGTTGTCGTCTGATGGCATCGAGTCATAGACGTGGATGGTCGGTTGGCCTTGTGTTATGGTCACTGAGGCTAGCGTCCAATGTGATTGATGATTGACTGGTAGCATAAATGTGACGCCGTCTGGGGAAGCGAAATTGAGCAATGATTTTGCTGCATTGGAGCTGCGCCCGCCCGAGTCAGACAGCTCGCTTGCCGCAGTCTCAGTGACAAAGGTAGAGGTTGGCAATAGAGCGCGAAAGCCTTCAAGTACCGAAGACAGAATCGCTCCAGTGAGCCATTCGCCTGGCATGAGACATGCTCGAGCAGCGGGTGTTTCCGGCGAGTCAGCAGAAAGGCTTGACAGGCGAGGCTTCTTTGATGAGGTCTGTTCCGAAACAACGGTCGAGTGCGTGTTCGTGGTCTTGATTTTCCTCTTTCGCGTGTCCGACAGGGATGACTAGTCCGAGTTATGGGTGACAGTTGCTGATTTTAAATGCTCCTCAAGGGTTGAGTGCTGAGATAATGCGGCAGCCGATGGTGCATTCTCAGGGAGCCGAGAACCTGTTGTCGCCATGTCCTTATGGGTTTTTTGTAACTCTGGGTTAACGAGGGTTACTTCGCTTTCGTCAAAGTCGTCGGATAAGACGGAAGAATCACAGGATTGTTGGTTTCCAAGCGCAGAACATTTGTCATCTTCATCGCCCGTAACGTTGGCGGCGACCGTAACGGCGGGACTGCTTGCGCAAACAATGCTCGAGGCCATTAGAGGGTTGTGACTCGATTGAGAAGGGAAATTCGATGTTGAGGTGACAACAGGGCTGCCTTGCGGGATGTCCAGTTCAAGGGAGGGTATGGCGGCGAGTGGGCCAGGTTGCGATGTTGGCTAGATAGAGAATCAGAGACAGTCAGTTGAACGGGCGTAGAAAGTGCAAGGCTCGAGACAAGTGCAGGGTGTAGCCAAGTCATGGCAGATACTTGCCTCGTTGATAGCAGGAGACGGAGTATCGGCGATAGAAGGAGTACCAACAGATGGAGATGGAGATGTAGGGTCGGCAGAATGGGATGCAATGTCAACGGCCTGAACGAGGTCTTTATGATCGCCGATGGCGGCTTGAACATCGCTTGGCAGAATACCTTGATCTGCTGGAGACACTCCCGGGCGGCGAAGCAGTCCGTCGAAGCGACGTCTGGAGTAACGGCACAGCTTCTGACAAGCTTCTTTCCAATCCGGACAAACAGTCGCAAACTTTGAAAGTGAGGCGAAGAACTTGCGGCTGTTTCGAGGACAGTCGAGGAGAAAGACACAATGGGTAGGTTGTATGTTCCAGCGATGACAAGCCTTGAGTAGTTTCGGCTTCGAGGTTGGATCGGCGACATGCAGGCTGGCAGGTTGGAGGGCCGCGACGAGGTTGGCGATCAAATGGTCTGGAAGAGTGGCCCGAACATCAATGGGACGAATATTGTTGGAGGCAAGAAGTCGTCTCTCGAGGGAAAGATATTGAGTAAGCAGACACTGGTTCAGATGGGTTGACGACGTGATTGAGTCGCTAAACGCGTCAACGAAGGCTGTGACTTGATCACGCCACGGCTCGCCCATTCGTAACAATTGACGGTTTTGTTAAACATGGGAGGTGAAAGCACATTGGTTGTGGTTGTGGTTGTAGATGCAATGAATATCAAGGTGGACGTTGCGGTGGTTGTTGTGGGGAATCTGGTTGCGATCGTAGCCAGCTGTGTAGGCTAACATATTGCCCTCTCGGAAGGAGCTCCGTGGTGGAAGACAAAATAAAGGCAGGGGTCAGCCAGGAACTCGTCTCGGGTACCTCGCGTATCTCAGGCTGCAAGATAAGGTACACGCAAGGCATGGGGGTAAGGTCGGTCATGCTGACTAATGTTTTGGCTATTTTTTTCACATGAGGAAATCACCTACCTGGAGTGATTGACCTATACGGACAAGGCAGTAGTAATGCTTGTAATGAGGTGGTGTCGAATTTTGACCCTACCTGCGATAGATGCATTATATCAGACCTTGGAAGCAGCTGCACCCACACACTCTCAAGATGTCCTCGCTGGGGTGCTCTAACTAAAGAAGAATAAATATTTTTGGTAATCTTATTGAAATGGATTTTGGAACAGTAAAATACTTTGCTGGGGGAGGTAATATGTCAAAAGTGTCGTGGGGACAATTTGAGCATCGTGGACAGCTGCACTCTGTGGACCATGGACGGTCCTGATCACGACGCAGCCATATTTGAATAAAGAGTCACCAACTGCATAGTATTTCCTGGTCTCTAAGTCTTTGCTTGTTTCTCAGTGGTAATAATTCTCTCTCTTTCTTGCAACAATGCGATGTGATGTTGAAAGTAAACTTCGGCTCAGGTGGCGCCCAGGTTTTGGTGAGTGCAACCACTGAGCTAACTAAGCGGATCGGGCCGGGCCGGGCTGGGGTTCAGTGTCTTACAATTGGCTCAATGAGCACCCCCCACAGATATACTACGCAGTCTCTTATTTTAACCATAGGGGCGAGCCATCATGTCAATTTGCTAGAGCTAATAAACCCGACCGTCTACGTGTTCGCGGTTTCTATCTTGCCAACGTCCAACCAAAGACCCACAACCCTACCGAGTCTCATCTTTCCTTGGTCCCCATGCAGCTTGTCAATTGTCCTCTTCAACGCTCTGACCCCTGCACTGCTGTCAGCTTTTCCTTGAGCTGCTGCTTTTCCTTCTCCAGTACGTCCAGAACAGTGTTGATGTGTCGAAGTGTGTTTTGACGCTCCTGTTGGAGGCCACCCAGACAACTCATCCAGGAAGAGAGTGCCTCGACAATTCGGCTGTCAACCATGGAGCATCGGTGAACAGCGTCGAGCGCGTTTTGGGTCTGGATCAATTCGACGTCCACCTCATGAGGTTGCATATCAACTGGTACCGAGTTCAACAAGATCAGATCCTTCTGACCAAACGCCTTGGCATCTGGCCGTATCGTGAGATTTCCAAGAACGACTTGGATCTGACGGATGCTTGCGATGGCGTTTTTCAGGATCGCCTGATGGTTCAACCGTTGTTCGTTGACGGTTTCACGCACACGTGCTTGGTAGGCAACCAACTGTTGATTCCACGCCTCCCAAGCTACCGTATCGGCCGTGAATGGCGGCACCGGTTGTTTCGGCAATCTAGGCATGGCGGTCGTGTTGACAAGTGATGCATCAAGCGCCACTGGGCCTCCAAACTCTTCAGACGCAAGCATGCCAAGAACGCGCCGCCAGATAGTGTAGTCTATCGTCTGGGAGGGATCGCATCCTGAAATCACATGAAGAGCAATACAGACCATGGCGACTCCGCTGTCTGTGTCGCCGACTTGTGGTGGACACGGTTGTAAATTGACCTCGCTTCCACAACCTATTCGCGACGCAATGTTTTTGATCAGCTGAAGCTTCTTACCTGTTGTGGTTACGCATTTCGTAGGATCGCAGAGATCCAGGACCTTGGTGTCAGCATTGACGATGGGCGCTACAGCTAGCACCTAGTGAGCTGGGAAGCGAATCGGCAAGAGGAAACGAGTATGTGGAAAGTTCTGCAGCTCTTCGAGCACATGATCAGGCATTTGCTGCCCCGGTCGTGGTACCATGGGCTCAAACACACGGAACGAAAGAGGATAAGTTGCGGTGGCCGGCTTCAGCAGCTGGAACAAGACGAGCGTTGAAACCGGCGCATTCGACTTGATCCACTCAAAGTCAATATTGACAGCCGAAACGCGAGGCCTCTTTGGAGGATTCGGCTGATCCATCTTGATGGTGAATGGTGACGTGGTGGGTGAGTTCGGCGGAGTGATCTGGGATAGAACGGTCGTAAAGACAGGACGTCGGGATTGAAGAGTTCGAGACTTGTGAGGAGATATTGAATGCTCGCTGTTAGGACGAGTGTGTAAGCTTTTATGCTGATCTAGGTGATGGATATTTTGGTCAGAATTGAGCAGATGCGACAAGATCATTTTCAGGAGCAGACCCTTGTAGGAGTTTGTATTAGTATTGTGACCGCAGAGCCAAATGCGACTGCCACAGATGTTGTCAAGGATTTTGTGATATTCCGCTTCACGTTGAGCACTTTCTGCTTGTGACGGAGACTTCTTTAGTCATCTTCTCGCGAAATTACCAGGAGGAGGTGAGGTGTCGTGGTAAAGGCCGAAGTTGACGCAGAAATCTTGAGCGAAGAACGAGGCAGTTCTGGGTCGACGACAAGGTGTTGAAGAATCGGTGGAAAAAGGTTGTTTGTTGTTGAGTTGAAGTTCCCTACAAAAGGCAAAATTGCAGGGGAGATACAAAAGTGAACTAGGCAGACAGGCAGGGCCCAGCTCTAATCACTACTGCACCACTTTCCAGTACACGCCAGATACCTTCCACTTACCTAAGCATCTTTGGTCTGCTGACTTTGCCTTCTTCTTCTTTCGATGCGGTTGTTTTGTTCATCATCCATCTTTTAACATTTTTGGCCATAGTTCTTCTTCATTACGATCATGGTCGTCTCGTTATTATCAGCATGGCTACAACCCCGAAATCGATCATTCTCACGATTCTACCAACTTTCCTTTACTCTCAATTTGTCTGCTCGTACTTTACCTCATTTCTCACCCATCAATCACGACCAAGTCTGTCTCCTTTCCCACGATTCTATGATGTGATAAGTCTCCTTTCCAAAATTACAGAGGGGCCAAGCAAAAAAGCATTCAAAACCATACTTGATCTGGTTCGTCATGTGTCAACCTGTTAGACAGCCACGGTATCACAGCATTGAAGGAAACCCATTACTAGGCTCTGCTCCCCCCGATACCGCACCACCAAAAGCAATCAAGTAACTGACGGAATCTTTAAACAGGAAACTTCCTTGTGCACATGATTCCACCTTCCCCTTTTAGCCCATCACTCCAATGACTGACGGTCGAATAATCTGCAGGCCTGAATATGTCGAAAGATCCCCAGAGATTGAAGCGATTTATAAGAGCTCTGTGACACAATCCACCGAGCTCCAACACCACACCTTGGGCCTACTCAGGTCCCTCGAATCTATTCTAAACGCCCTACAAGCACATTAATTGTGTTACATTTCTTTACGAAGAAGTCTGCCGCTTCTCTACTTCCCAAAGGTCATCTTCAATGTCATGCGAAAGTTTTCAATCACGGCGGCCAAGTCATCCTGTTCTCACAGACAGTTTTCTTCTTAGACAGAGTGGTGAGAATCATCTACAACCGCCTTCGCCCAGCCATCACTCACCTGGACACGCTCAAGTGTCTCCTAAGGCCTGTTAAAATGTCCTGTTGAGCACTCATGCCAGCCTTGTTCCGCCTCACCTGAAAGCAAGTTGCCCATTGGACGGCCTGAATTCCCCAAAACATGAAGATCTGCCGCTTCAAAAGCTCGAGATCGATTTGGGCTGACTGGCCTCAATAGGTTGGTGGAGGCATTTGCTTGTTCTTCCGTCCAGTTGGGCAAGTTTCTATCCTCCTTGTCTCGGCCATCCTCTGGTTGCTTACCGTGATAGCTTTGACCAACACGCAGCCGAGCTGCAATAGTCTCTTCGCCGTCTTATACCCGAAAGGGGCAAGCCCTCGCTGGTACCGTCAATTTCTCAACCATCCCCGAACTTAACTCCCAGGCCTCATTGGGGATCTTCTAGCTCCTAGCCACGCGCTTGTGCAGTCTCTAGCTCGCCGCCATTTGCGCTGAACATTAGTATCACATCTGCCTCTGGCCCGTGGAAAGATTTACAGGTGGATGTTTGACCGTGTTATGGAGGAAGAATAGGCATCATCATCGGTGGCTGACTTGATAATATTCCCTGCCATAACATAGCTGTTGAAGAACATTTCCCCAGCGAGAATGCGACACATACGGTCCTCTTCGCCCATATCTTGAATCAGTCTGCTGTTCCCAGCCAGAGATTTCTTATTTCACGCAATCCTCTGATGCTTGGTATAGCCCAAGGAAGTCTGTTAGTATTGCTGCTGCTGCAAACACACCTACGATGTCCACGGCGACGACAACAAGACAATTTCTCTGCAACGCACCATGAACGTAACCTATGGCTCCCGACCAATTTTGATCCTTGTTATGAATGACCGGGATTTAATTCATGCTATAACTTGTGTCGTGCATGTATCGGTAATAAGCCGAGACCGTTTGCGACGTGACAATATATGATGTAGCTTCGTCCTCCACCACGCTCTTGCTCGAAGCCCCTAGCTTTCAGGAGGCATAAAGGTTTGACGCGAAAGGTCAATTATTGTGTGAATCCCAGCTGCCGGGCCACTTGTCTTTCACATAGAGGATAATAGCCCTGGCAAAGAGGTGACTGCAACTACAAAGAGGACGAGAACAATAAGAACATTGACTAGCATTCCCAACATGCTACAAAGACCTGTAGACTGATTCAGAATAGCCTAAAAATGATCAAGAAGTTTGTCTTAGAACAACTAAATGAGGCTGGGAGATGAGAAGGACGTCCTTTCATGTCATTGTGCCGACACGCCTCCACCATCTGGGTGCAGGACTAGGAATGACTTTGTCTTGACGTGATCGTTTCTCTTGCATTTGCATACAGCATGACCTGTCCTTTGCTCTGGCGAGTTTGCAGCCCTTCGGAGAAAAGAAGTTTGTTCCTAGCCCATTTCAAGCAGTTGAAGCCGTTTCACCGAGCAGCTGCTGGCTCTTTGAAAGTGAAGGACCTGTAATGTTGATGAGACAAGGGCAATAGGAATGGCCAACGATTCACTGGGGATTCAAAGACTAGGAAACATTTTCAGAAGCTGAAGTACATTTTACATATCATTGGCAAGAGCAAGTCATGTGCTGTATATGCAATCCCACGCAAGTAGGATATAAATGAAAGTATGAACTGAGCTTAACAAAACGTCAGTGGGTTTAATCACGGTCGTTGTCGTGGGTTTTTTCCTCTTTTTTCAAAACACTCATCTCAGTGTTAGGTCCTTTTGCTTGGCCGATTCCGTATATAAGATATGACAAGTCGCCTATTTTCTACATAATTACTCGTTCAACAGTCTAGTGACCGCTTTGATTTCCACTCAAAGATTCAGGCTGTTAACTGATCTTCAGTCAACCCGTTCAGTACCAGCTGAGATCTCTCCGCTTAATATATGTGTAACAAGTTGCAATTGAAAAACAAACTTCTTGTTCAGATACACAGTTCAGCCCAGACTTCCAAAGACCAGAACAATTGGACTTTTTACTTATGAATGCATCTGGAGGCCACTAATAATTTCTTTAAATTCAAGACATCTCCGTCAAGACTTCCCTGGGGTGCGATTCGCGGTACCTCCTCTTACTCTAAAACATAATCAGGTTTGTTCAGCAGCATGCCGATCCTCAGTAGGATAGTGCCTAATCGGGTACTTCTGAGCGTTGTCGTCAAACTTTACATTGTATGCTTATGCTTTTTCTTTCTCTTCAACTGTTCAATATTTCGCTTGCAGGAGGGTGCAACGATGACAACAGAGAATGGTGAGTGGTCACGTTCATCTGACTCATCTTCCGAGAAACAGAAGACAGCTCCAAGATCGGCGCCGTTCCGCAAGAACTTAACATCCTTTTGCCAGAAGTTATCAGCCGGAACCAGATGGAAAGTGTATAGGCGTTGTTTAAGTTCTTGAGTCTTAACCAAAAGACCTTATCAGTCAAGCTGGTGCTCAGTGTGAGGCCTAACAGACAGGATGAATCGGGCCAGCGGAATTGGAGGCAGCGGTCACCATGTGAGGGGCTATGTGGCAGTTACCAGATGATGGGGAACAATACGGAGAGTACCAGCCGGCGGATCAGTCCGTTCTGGGAGCGGACGTAAATCACCAGCCAGCAGTATCCGCCAGGCGGGCCGGCTAAAGAGACCATTGAGTTCGGAAAGAGCTCAAGACGAGCAACCAGGCAACGCGAATGAAACTCAGCAAAAAAAAAAAAAACGACAGACTCTCTGCCGGGTAGCATCTTATATGGGAACGGAGCAACGTCACTGGGGGTGACGTCTGAATTGTCAGAAACAAGAGCTGTTACTTCGGGTCAGTGCCAAAGAATAGGAATATCTTGATTTGAACCAAATGAGCAGGAGAGTTTTTGTTGATACTGATAAGTTCGTCATGGGATAGTGACACGTTTCAAAAGGAGGGTCGCCTCTACAGACGAATGTATATATATCATTGATCAATTTCTTACGCACAAAAACATCACGTACGGACATTACCCGGTTCTTCTATCCCTCCGTCAAACATTCTGCTTCCAGTCCTCTGAGAGTCGGTGTGTGGCTCAAGTAGCATGTCTTTCTGGCCACATATGAAGTTGCACAATACCTCTAATTCATATTACCTCTTCTCAGTACGTTCCTTTTCTGCCCCGGTCCTTTCCCATAACCTTGGCTGTATATTTTCTCACTCACTTGTTTTTTCCCCCATCGTCGAGTCAACCCAAATCTCTTTCACTTTGAGTCTCTCCGATTTGATCTGAAGATCGCAATGAAGTCAAAAATAGGCATGAGTAACTTCGAGGTTTGCAGCGTCCCGCTATCTACGTTGGTGCAGTCAGTCTCAAACTTCCAGTCAGCTTAATTTCACGTTTGTCGTTGCTAGTGTGCTTAATATGCCTGCTTGCTTGGATCTTCTTTATTCGCTCTGCTAACCTTCGTCATCAGCCCGGTTCTGAGCCCTGTAAGGTTTTGCCCATCCGAAATGGTTACTCTCGGTTATTTCTCGGTGCGCCTACCCGCACGGTTATTCTCCGCGTCATCCACCTTCTCCAAGTCCTTCAATCCCTTGCCTCCTTTCACGACCGGTGATTCTAATGACTATCATCATATCGCCGACTTCGACAAATCTTGGTCACTTCGAGAATGTCGCTCGAGCTCTACTTTCACGTTGAAGTTTCGTCTCACGTTGTACGCCGACAATATCCCTTTCCTAGACCGCTGTCTCTTGTTAAGGTATATTACGCTCTCCAACACCAAACCTTTCCACTTCATCCACGGGAAACCCGAAGTTATCGACCTTGTCACGGCTCCCGACGACTGCCACTCTCCGTTTTATTTCGAGCCCTCTTGCTCCCATTTGGAACGATACCCCTTCATAACCAGTGAGCTTACCGCTTATCATCGTTGTGGCCGTCATTGACCTCTTCCTAGACAGCTTTCATAACGCCCATATCGCTTGAGCAGCACTGTCGTCTGTCTCCGGCATTAACATTGCCCAGTTCACTCTGCCCAACTAGTCAATCTGTGGCTTTCGTCTTCTCCATTAACCCCCAAGTCACTAACCTTCACTGAAAACTCAAATCTCTAGCAAATACACGCCTTTCCCTATACTCAGTTCTCGGCGACGCTCTTGATCACCTTGAGTTCTGAGTTGTCCTCCACTCGCTCATCAGAAATTCTTTTAAATTCGCCTTGATTCAGCTCAACTTGCCTGATTGTCGTCATGAAACCATCTCTGTCTCACGGATACTTCATCATATATAGCCAAATCAACAATAGATAGGCTAAGCTCGACTTTGTAGTTCTCCATTCAACGCTGGCCTGAAGGTCTGCCATCATCCATGCAGATTGGCCGCCGGTTACAGTACCGGCTTGAGCGGTAGGTAGCCCTCGCTTTCGGGGTCGTGCCGGATAGAGATCTCTTTTTTCCTTGATAACTAGTGGCCCACTGCTTTGGTTGGGCAGGCTGAAAGACAAGGCCTCTGTTGCGAACGAGATGACCTAAGAGATTTCGTGCGTGACGGAATTTGGCCCAAGCCGGGACGGTCTGGCCGGGATGTGCTTCGGCCTTGTCTGGGCAAAGACCTTGTCTTCAATGAGCGTGATGGGGTCCAGGACGTCTACACCGATGTTGTGTAGTTTGGTCGCGCAGTAGGACACAACATAGGTGAACGACTCCAGAAGCCCCTAGGCAGTCTGCCAACGCCTGCTTGTTTTCAAGGAGGTATTGTTGGATCCGGTCTTTCGCGGGCTTCAGGTAGTATCCTGTGCCTACGTAATAGTTGTGGGGAATGCCCGCTTGCTCTTTACTCCGCAAGGGCATAGTTTAGGACGGGATTAGGGTATGCGGACGAGTTGGGCCCCGCATAGCCCCAGGGATATCGCCTGTGGCCGAGGCCGTAATAGTTGCCCAGCTGCGGGCTGCGGCCGATCCTGCTTCAGTCTGGACGAGTTTCCTAAGTGCTTGAATCACGTAGACAGTAGATCTCGCGATCTGGTTTCGATGACCGTTAAGGCTGGCAACTACGATGTCTACAGACTAGGAAATCGTCAGAAAGACCTCCTTTTGCGCCTCATACTGTCTGGATTCTTCGTCAAGAGCTGAAATGACGGATTTTGTGGCGAGCTCGCTCGCAGCTGTGAGGAATATTGTAGGCCTCTCCGCCGTTCAAGGGACGTCATTGACAGTGTCCGGCTGGTTTCCCTCGAGACTGGACCGGAGTGACTGTGTCCTAGTGCTGCGGCGGCGTTTAGCCCTTAGGGTAGTAGGAGTTGGCTCTGAAGATAGGCCAAAGCTCTGGTCATGCCAACACGGACAAGCTCCAGAGATGGGATGTAAAAGCCTTTCAGCTGTCAAGGACTATAGCAAGATAACACATGTTTCACTAATAGACGACTTCGAGAAAAGTTAGGCGAGAGAGAAATGTTCTCGTTGGCCCAAATGGAGGTTGGAATAGACATACTCATTGCTTGTTCTAACGAAGAGGAGGGTCTTTTGCTGTATTACATGAATCTTGTTTCTACTCGGTCCATTGCCCAGTACATCCAGTCAGCAGGTAAGGTATTAAAGGAGTAATGTATCGAATAAGCCAGTTTATGATCGGTCTCGTTTGATTAGATATAAAGGTAACGCTGAATACTAGGAGTCTCTAAGGCCCTCACGATTGTCCTGGGTGAGCCGTTTATACTCGAGAAGTAGTCTCACCATGTAAAGGATCATGTCTTCCTTCCGCAAAACTCTTGCGGCCCATTCTGCACCAGAAAGCCCAATCCGCTTAGCCTCATCATCGTGGGGCGTAATACAACTCTGCCTCTGCTCGGGCAATGCGGGTTCATTAAGATGACAGGTTCCTATGAAGTAGAACAAAACATCCCATAAGTCATCGTAACGGTTGTCCATGGGCACGAAATGCTTCCAGGGTATTAAGCGGGAATCGTGCCACTCTCGAAATATCGACGCCTTGATTGGCACAGAGTGAGAACGTATGAAAGTGAGAAACCTCGCTGATAGACTGAGCAAAAGTCCTTCTTGTGAAACATTAGAACTCACCGCTGAAGCCATAACCATCTACATCGACTAAGAACTTGTATTGGAGACACTGACTGAGGGGAATAAAGCCAGCATACTCGTAATCAACTTCGAGATAAGAGCAGTTCATCGTTGTTGCGAGTTCAATCTCATCTTCTGTGAGTTTGGGATATTCCTCATCCGGGTCTTCGCAAACGTTCGACACGGAAAAGCCAATATCCACATGATTACGGCAAAATTCAAGGAGCGCTGCCCCGTTCATTCGGTTTTGTAATCGTTCGCACATGCGACTTGGCATCGCCCATGAGCAGTTGCCGCTCTGTGCCGCTTTCTCGATATTGTGAGCGCTCGTCATAGCTACCAACCGGTGCCGGTGGTTCTTTTTCCAGTTAGCGGCCGTCACACGGGATCCGGTATTGGATCCTCGCCAAACGGCTTTGTCCAACTTCGACGACCATTGGGAATGTTCTGTGTCTTCTTCAGAATGATATTTCCAATCTTCCACCCAATCCAGAGCAGCTGGGGTTCGAATGACATGTTCGAGGTGGGCAGTGCTCTGTTCGGAAAACAATGGAAGTAGATCAGTCGAATACAATTGCTCGCGGGGAGCTACGAAACTTCCGTGCAGCTTCAGCAGTTCTGGCTGATGGCAAGGCATTTTTGAGAGATCATAATCCTGCACAAAGACCCCGTCACTTGTCATGTGGTTAATATTCCGTAGAGCTAGGCCACGGCGGAGGGCTGACGTCGGAGCACATGCTGCTTGGACTGCTTCGGTGATGTTAAGGTCTAATGTCACTGCCGGTCAGCCTTGTAAACCTATTGGCATAGTCTCGAAATGGACTCTCTGGACGTCAACATCCGACCGACAACGTACCAGAAACCCACTCGACGGCGGAATGTTTAGCGCTGTCTGTAATCGCAGCAGCGCACTTGTCTTTCGCGGCTTGGAGCCTCTCCCAGGGAACCCAGGTTCGTGGCGACACCACTCCAGTCGCAGCAATTTGCACACTAGGCACAACAGCCGGTGCCTCTCGCACTACAGCAGCAAGAAACTCTGTGTAAGGCTCACACCATTCGTAGTCGAAACAGTTCGTCTCTGCCGTACCGTTTCTGATCCAGAACCCATCAACCATGTCCTTACCTGGGATTCTGGTGATGGAGTCTATCATTCGACGCAAAGATGAGGGTTCGATGCTCCAAAAAGGATCTAGATCTTGGTAGATAGGATCCCAAAACTCCTCGACCATGACGGCACTATACTTCCGAGCTAGAACATACCATGCAGCGAAGCCGGGTGGTACCACTCGCCCCCGTCGCTCTTCATACGTTTCGATAGCTTCTTGGAGCGTCTGTGTTTCGGCAGACAAAAGGCCCTGAAACTTATTTTCCGCTTGAACGATGAGGGCATCTATAGGGTGATGCAAAATATCAGGTGGCGTGTAATACCAAAGCTGGAACGTAAGCCATGGAATTAACAGAGCTGCTGCTGCGAGAACGACGCAATATGCCCAATGAAAATTCCGGCACGGCGAACTGGGCAAGTTGGAAACATTCTTGCCCAGCATTGTTGTGAGTGATCAAGAGACTAGATGTACGAGGCAGGGGATGTGCATCAGAAACGAGACCAAGCGAAGGAAGGTCATCGGAAATGGTCTAAGGCAACAGGCCAAGCTTTTGTAGGTCTACGTCGTTCAATATACACGTTCAAAAATTACTATTTGTGTTAGACTGTTGCCTGTGTTTGAATACATGGCTGTGAAGCTGTATTAATTTCATAAATGTAATATGCGAGAACCAGTGAGAACGGAAATATAAAGAACAAAACCCCGCTTCAGCCGGTTTGGGGAGAAATCATAATCAAAGCACGACAATCACTCTTTGATCAATAAATCCATTTGGTAGTGCATCGAATGGATGCTGTACATCTAACCCTAGTTCTATGGACAGTACAACATTCCCCATGACAAGACGCCAACCCGCTTCTACTCCATTTTATACTCCGCAGTGCTTCTATACATAACATACTTAATAGGTGATTAAGGGCACATGCCTCATAACGCCACTGTCTAAATACAGTCAAGAGGGCTGCTTACACTGTGACGCGTTTCTTTGTATCAGTCGGGATTGACGGTACCTCTAGCATAGCCAATTAGAGTGGGATAGAAGTACTCTACCACAGGTTTGTTCTATGAAATATACATTAACTCTGATTGACCCCTCTTCCTCTATTGATAAAATTAATTTCTAACAGTCTAAGTTGGTAATCCATACTCCATCGAATGCCACTTGACGCCATGTTTGCCAAGGGCAGGGTAGTGCTAACTGGCCTCAACGCCTAAATTTACCGGTCTAATAGAGGACTCAGCAATATCGGGAACTTGAGTCAGGAGTTAAATTGGATAAATTGTCAAGTGGCTGTCAATGGGATATTAAGCTTTAGCGGCGGGACTTGAAGCATTGTAGACGATGGTGCGGTTTCACCACCCTCGGCATAAGGAGTTCGGCAGAGACTGGGGCGGAAAAAGACTACTGCTTAATAACACATCGGCGCATAAGACATCTACATTAGTCCTAGCGGCACTCTATTCATTCAGAAGCATTTGGGTTTGGATAGAAGTTCTCGTAAACCTCGCGTCAAATTTATTCCGGACTAATCCGCAATTCCAGCGGTCCGTTCCGTTCCGGCAAACTGAGTTCAACACCCTCGTCCGGTGCTCTATTCTTTTCTTTTTAGAGATTGCCCTAAGCGGCTCAAAACCTAGATCCTAGGTCGATCAGTTTACCGCCTCTGATGGCTTTGGTATGCCCACATAAAAGGCCTGTACGGAGTATTCCGCCGGAGGCAATGAAGTTAAAAGTCGGACCATTCTAAGTCCAAAGGTTTAAGTTAGCAGGTTTTAACATTTTCCGATTGCGTCAATTACAGCTACGATCAATCTACCGTGTCATTCGAGACAGCTTCACTACCTCTGTCCGGGTGTTTCAGAGTTTCAAAAAGTGCCGATTGATGAATATAGCCATGACATGAATAGTGTTGAAAGATTAGCAAATCGCAGAGAGAGAGAAAAAAGGTCTTGGCTGTTCCCTGAGTCATCAGTTCCCCTCATGATTATGATCTCGTTGCCATTCAGCAGTTGATGGAATACTGAACCTGTCACCCGCTTTGTTTTCTTGTTACGGTCCTAACATCATCATCGGCTGTTAGAGACGTTCATCTTTTCTAGTTTCATACAGCCTCTTTACAAGTCAAGATCCAATTCAATACAGCTGGCGGCAGACACACGATTCCTGCAGCTAAAATCATCACCCTGAGGAGCCTAAAGTTGTCAACTCAGACGGAGTGGGAGAACGGAGCATTCCAACTGTCGCCAAAGATCAAAGGGCAGATCTTCGTCGCAATACGATCCTGGTCCTTCCCAAACCATGCCCTCGCCTTTCTTCATAGTTGAAAGCGATCATGTCGCTTGGATGGCGTATTGCCGATACCGTCATATTGAGATAACTTTTCATTAATGAATCCCGCAGTGTCGACTGATTATTTCCTTTTTACCGATCAACTACCAGGTCTTCCTATGCTTTTGTCTCAAAGTCTGAGTTCTGTAAGTCACCGTGAAAGTCACACCATCTACTATCTGGCACTGGACAATACATTATTGGCAACTGGCAGAGGCATGTTCGTTAGCGTTGTGAGCCTTATATCCAGATTAGTTCCCCCGTGCATGAGGTAGTTTGTTTTGAGTAAGTTTCCCTATGCGTATCTTGCCATTACTAGTGATCTCAGTCTAGAAAATTCCCAACCCACCACCCCCTGGCTTACTTATACTACTAAGGAAGGTTACTAGTTTGAAACATCATCAACTTAACATGTTGACAACCTAACTCTAAAGCTCGGATCCCTCACTTCATTACCAATAGATAGGGTAACCTATCCGATGGGCAATTGCGGTGCTAAACTTCAAGTTTATCATGTTGAACTATTTTATAATGTTACATCAACCGCGACTTTTGCCAACCTTAAGAGCTGGCATTCAGTTAAAGTTCAACCTCCTCTCACTTTGAAGAGATATACTAAGTTTGATGTCAAAGGTTTATTGGCCAGCGGAAAGGCAAATTGTATTTTGTATGGGCCAAGTTGGCAAACTTGATTCACTGATTGCTTTACGACAAGCGCTGGCTTTTGTCATGTGAATAAGGGCATGACTCGACTCTATTGTACTGGCTATCAAATCGGAAAATACGATTGTTTCAATACCAACGTAGAATTCATGAGTATTTAATTGAAGAAGTCTCCGTAAAACCCTCCGAGCTGTAGTTCTGCTTAACTCATAGTCCAAACAACTCCTGCTTTAACACGTCTACCTCTTCCCGACCAAACAACATGAAGCTTGCCAACGCCGTTATCCTATGTGTTGCCACAGTAGGCATTTGTTCCGTAAGACACTCGATCCTGACTTGGGCTGCCTAGCAAGAAAACTAACTCAATAACTACAGGATCTCAACCTGGACGCAGACGGTCACATTGACGAGGTTACTATCCCAATCGATGGTGCTTCCATCGGCCGGCGTCAGTGGGACGCATCGCAGTATTTCCGACGCCCTAGTAAAACGTCACCCAAAAAGTCTCCGAACAAGAAATCCAATTAAAGGATCGTTCAGAAAGCCTGATTCCAGGCTTTGGTACAAGACGCACCTCCATAGGAACACAATATCAGTTTAGTTCTGTACATGCTCTCGTGTTCAACTGCGCCTGCTGCCAAAATAACTCACGTCCAAATGTGAAGAAAGCTGAAACTAAGATTGAAATATGTCGGTCCTTAGTTCCGGGTACCCCGTCGAGTGCTGAGAAGCGCCAATTTCATCACCCAAAGCAAATTTTTCCCACAATCTAATCAGTAAATGACAAAAAATTCATTCCTTTCTGTTCCAGCCTTTTTCAAGACCACCGGTACCGCCGTTCTGACCAATATTGTCTTGTATGTGTATGCTGACCTTGACGCTCACGATGGCTCCGTGGCATCTGGAGCCTCCAAAACCACCTTATGGACTCAAGGGTACGGCCCATGAGCCTCCGGCCGAGGCACCCCACTTGACCTCTTTCCTCTGTGCATTCCCTATCCCCTCTTCTGCGAGACAGCACTATTCCAATGCCATTCTCATCTTACTCCACATTAAGTTCATAACTACTACATCTTAATCAAACAACTCTGCCATGTCTCTATGCAGCTGCTACTTCAATGTTCACCTACAAAGCTTTATGAAAATATGTTCTAAAGAATTTTGATTTTGTTGGATAGAGATAGGCCCAGACTGACTGCTAACCCGCTCTTGGCAAAATGGGAAGGGTATTATTATACTTGGTCTGCACTTGGGCAGTTAACTGTATTCAAAATCTTCCATTTCGTCGGCCAAACCGTCATGGGGAGGACCGCGTGGCCCGTCTCTTGCCGGAGGCAGTTCATACCAAGTTGGCCTGCGACTCATGATCCAATTATATACATGATCGAAATCACGGCATGTGTGTAGCGAATGCTTGCGGATCACGATGCCCCAGTCCGGTCCAAGATCCTCGAAGAACATTGGCGTAAGGTCTATGTTGCACTGTACGTATTGACGCAAGTAGTCTACACAGTGATCTTAATGGTTCCCAATGCCTTTGTCAGCCTAGTTGTTGGTAAGACGAAAGGGAAAGGCATACCTATGTGCGTGGACCATTGTCTATCATCCATCGTGTAGCCAGGGTAGGTTGTGGGTCGCAGAGTTCGACGGATAAGATTCTAACCACAACTCAGATTGACTCCCACATGTATGTTTAATGATGGCTTGATGTGCTTACAAGACAGTGAAGAGCGTGGAAAACCTCCAATCCCATGACGTATTTTCCGTCTGGAAATCCCAAAGTTTGGTTGGCGATAGACTTGGCTTCAGTACCTGTTCTATTGAAGTTGATGGCTACGGATGATCGAAGTCAGTTGGACTGTTTTTCGAGCCTGGCTCAAAAGGGGGGGGGGGGGGGGGGGGGGGGGGGCTCGCAAAGCAACACTACCTGCTAGTAGCAAATCCCAATTCTTATCTACGTCGGGATTAGGAGACCCATAGTAAATTGGCTGGCCAGGCTCATGCTCTATGTGCCATGCTCCAGAATCGAAGTTGGGCCGAATATGATTGTCGAATTCCTTCTGCACTAGTGATAGCCCAGAACTTAGTTCCCCTGTGATCAAGTTAGTACATTTATGCGTTTCCCTGTTTTTCCATGGTGCATTTGCAACAATCGATATTCAGAGCGTACAGTAATCCGTATCGTAACTTTGCGCCTGGAATTCTTTCTCAGGCCGATAAATGCTGTTTCCAAGGCCAAATCTCACTGTGATCCGTTCGCGAATGAAAACGAGTATCACAATGGCTTCGAAGACAGATAGCCCCGCAAGAATCCAGATGCTCCGACGTTCTAGACTCGTTTGGTCTTTCCGAGCCAACTCAGATACGTCGGTTGAAAGATCAATGGCCGGGACGCGCTGGTATCTATTGCTGCAGAGCATCGTTAGTAGTTGAGATGAGCGATCACATCAAGTGCTTAACCTCACTGTGCCGGTTGAAGTTGGACGGAAAGCCAAGAATCAATAAGTATTCATCATTCTAGGCGCGACTTGACTTCCGACAACAACTTACCACGACAGGGCATAAAAGCTTCCCCTTGGCTTGAGGAATAGACTATAGAAGGCGTTTCACAGATGAAAAGCTTAGTGGAACTAGGGGACGAAACTTTCCTGTCGTACATACGTAAGGTATCATCTACTGAACACTCCTTCGGTCTGGTAAACCAACATAGTCCCCGCCATCCGAAAGCTAAACCTTACGTCAAACCTTTTCGATGTTCGCTTTATGTTAACAAAGAATTGTACGATCACAGCCGGGGCAGGCTCCCCCTTGTTAGCAGATTCTTTGATTAATGATTGCGCTGATTGCATGCAATGTGCATGTTTTTGTTTATAATTTGTACAGTTTGAATGGTCGATTCAAGTGAGAATTCAATCGGACGGCGATTATCTTTGGTGAGCACAGAAAAAGCACAACCATGCCGAAGCCTGATTTAATGAGACTTTAATATACTGGATAAAATTTCTGGTGAAATTCAATAATTATCTTCAACCAACATTGATCCTGCTCAATTAGCACATTGAAATCCCACCTAGGCCCCTTTGACGCAGCAAAATTTCCTATAAGATGTTGAAGATTCTCTCGGTACTTCGTTCATTCTCGATTGACCGCACTGGCAAACCAGGTTCGCAATACACTGAGGTGCCGTGTAACCATACAGAGACTCCATTCGAAGAACAAGTGGCAGATGAACTGCATTGCGACGGCCATCATGACATCCTCATAGAGCTTCTTTATTTACGGCGGGCTATACGCTTCAAAAATTGCCTGATTTTAACATTAACTATAGCGCTTACTTTGACCACAATCTCTATTGTTGCAGTCATAACTGGATGGGTGCCGGCGGGGAACACGAACCAAAATATCACACCCGCTCTGAGCGAAGTAAACGGTCTCCTCCCTGTCCGTAAGTATTTAGGCAGGTAGTTTTGCGTTTGCGTACACTTTCAAGCTGACCTTCAACAGTATCAAATCGCGAACAGATATTCTGGAATGATTCAACATATACGCAAGAAAGCAGCATTTTGAGAAAGGAGCCCTTTGAGAAAGTATCCAAGCGAATCAACGAAACCTGGACATCACTGATGCCTAGTAAGTATTATTGTGCTGTATATAAGGCTCCTTCAGTGAAACACAGCTAACGAGGAATGTTTGCTTTTCCCTTGCGGCAGCGGGCGATGGCTTTGTGCCGATTTCCCATCCGGAGAGACACAAACTCCCACTCAAGATGCTGGATGACCATGATCAGCCTATGAACATCTTCGGCATTACTGTTTACCATCAGCTGCACTGTCTGCACTATATTCTGCAGTCCTGGGTTTCGTTCGTCTACAGTGAGAAGCAGGAGAATTTCTTCCCCTCCCACATCCTCCACTGCTTCGACTATATCCGATTTGGGTTAATGTGCGGTGTGGATACGGCTCTTGAGGGTGCCAGTCTCGTGGAAGGGCCTCGACGCGGCACACTTGGTCTCGGAACAGTTCATATCTGTCACGACTGGGATGCACTGTTCACATGGGTAGAAAATGAAAATGCCCAAGTCGAGAGCAAACGTAGCTAGATTTCGATGTTTAGCAACGAAGCGTGGCATAGAATTCATGCCAACATTGACCAAGGGTTCTACGAAGCTTCAGGTCGTTGGATTCTCAGTTTAATATCAATGGCACTGCATGATAAATGCATGTAGTTAGTGTGAGCTATGAATGGGGGAGAGCATATAGGTGCTCATAACCAAATGCGAGACACGCGCCAGCGTTATCGAGCTTCTTTCCAGCATTAGAAGCATGCCAATTTAATCAGGGGAAGTGAACACAAAAATAGGTTGCGAATACGTGAAAAGAATTGCCCTAACGAGATGGAAAGTGTAGACATGTGAAGTACAAAGACTTCTAAATCGTCTGGGAAGACCCCTGTACCTCGTTCCTGAACGTCCTCTGCTTTTCGAGGTATAAACGAGGGCTCGGTCCGCAAATTTTCATACCAACCAGCCAAGTCAGCTGAAACATTTGTGTTCTCAGAATGAATTCAGGCTTACAGCCAGCCCGTTATTCAAAACTTCCGTGCAATGAGGAACCCGAAAGCGAGGCTCTCAGAGAAGTAGAGAGGCTTCTTATCCGATGCAAAATCTTATCAGGATGTCTAGGAGTTGTGATAATTTTCTCGATCATCTCACTTTTATTCGCTTTTGTTCCCTCTCGAGCTCCCTTATCGGACAGGGCATGCTCCCGTCAACTTTCGGTCTATTGTAAGTGCATCACAGGACATGATATTGTGGAACTTAATCCTGACCATGACGGTAGCACCAGCTATTGATGGCATCAAATATGAGGAGGTAGATGTGCGGGTGACCGAACCCCCAACGAGCGTTTATAGCGGCCCTCCCTCACCGGAGCTCGAAGAAGCATGGTATGCTTTGTACAATAGTGAGTCAGGGAGATGCTCACACATCTTGGTGTTCGATTGCACTGACGCGCCAAGCGTAGTTGGCCAGATGGCAATCCCCCAAAACAAAATCCATTTACTCACCAACTCATCGGAGCCACCGATTTACGGTCCGGAGGGGCCGTATCTGCGCCAAGGAGACGGTAGCTATCGCGCGATACCGAGCGTTCTACATCACCTACACTGTCTCAACACGATCCGACAGTACACGTGGCTGTTGCAGCCTGGCCCAGTGCGTCACTACGGTCCGGGAAGCGTTCATGGACTTGACGTACCGCACCGACTCCAATATTCAAACACGACCAATCGATCACATATGGATCACTGTATTGAGGTTGTTCGTCTGGCCTTGATGTGCAATGCAGACGTCTCCCCAGTACTTGAGATTGCGGACGCTAACGCCGAACGATTTGAGCGAAGTCAGTGGAGTGTCTTTTCGAAATGTCGAAGTTATAAGAGTCTGCAGGATTGGCTGGAGGAAAACATGATAGTTGGATTCAGTGAGACGGTCGATATGAACAACAAGTAAATACATGTGTCGGGGCCACATCGAGAGTTGGTACTGGATGAAGTTGCTTTGCAGAAACTAACAGAAAGCCGATGTTTGCTTTCACTATATGTTAGCGTAGATGGCGCCGTGTGGTCATTGAGGTTTTGCGTCTTTCGCAACTACAGGTGAATAGTGCGTCCTTGTAAGCAATTCTTTTGTGGCGTGCTGCACAATCTCCCTGGTGGGATCTTGCCGCAGATGGTCTTCGAGCAGATGACGAAGGTGAAATTAGGGAGCCTTGGAATGAGGAGCTATCTGTGAAGGGCTGCGCCCACTGATTATTCAGTCCATGAGTGCTTCTACCATGAGAATCTAAATTTAAGGAGAAGAAGTAGGATTTGCATAATTTTGCAGACATTTCGCGGTTTATAAAAAGCGAAAAGCGTTCACCGTTGGCGGACGCAATAGAAGTTGCGCGTTGAGTTCTGTTTCCATTCAAGTACAAAGTGATGTTCACCAAGCAACAACAAGCTGACAAGGCGTTAGTTGCTCTCGAGGACCATTTGAACAGCTGTATGCTACCTCAAATCACAGAATATCTCAGGCTGTCAGACAAGGCAGAATTCCAGTCGTACTCGAGGGATTCCATCTTTTTATACTCAAAATCCATCCCGCCACGAAGCTTGTATCATGTCAGCCACTTGAATGAGAAAGATTTTATGTACATCTCCAGTAATCCAGTAAGTGGTCTTCCTGTTCGTCTGGAAAGGTGCATAGACATCACATGTACTTGATGTTGCCCTCGCTCCTTCTGCTACTCCGAAGCAGTTATAAATCTCCACCATGGTTCGTTCGTACCCGGTGCAATACAGCGATAGAATTTGCATACTAGTCGGCCCTTGTCCATAACGACGGCCACGGGGATTGCGCATTGGCGCTGTCGACAACAGCTCAGGTACGACGTTAAAACTGGCACGGAAGTGAGACATTTCGTTAGTATAAGAACCAAGAGAATACAAGCTTTTGAAGACTTCCTTCTCACCTGGACCTCAATAGTGTTCTGTCAGTCTCTTCTCTAGAGCTTTCAATCGTCTCTCAAGAAGCCTCCGCGTCGGGCCATTTCCCACCGCTGCCAAATAGTCCGAGTACCCATGCCCATTGATGTCCCAGTTTCGAGGGTTCCAATGTTGCTGGACACCAGGTCTGGCAGCCCACTCAAGCAGGTAATCGAGAAAGCGAATCAGATCATTGGCGCAGATTATCATCAGTGCAGTGACGCCGCGAGCGCCGAAGGGCTCGCTTGTCCAGTTAGCTCCTCTCTCAACAAGAAGGCTCGCGGTTTCAAGGTGACTGTGTGCCAAGGCGATGTGTAGAGCGGTTGCCCAGGGCAGATCTTTGGGACTGACTACTGTGTCTGCGTCCAAGTGTACCTTGAGGTGCCTCGATGGACAAAGGCAAGGCTGGATGGCGGGGATGTCGACGGGCTTCATGACCCATGTGCTGGCGATAGCGCCAACATGGGGCCAAAGTAAGGAACGGTGGTACACGGCCAGGTGCTCTCGATCGAGCAGCCAGCGAACCACCTTAGTGTTTCCATGCTGGGCAGCCATGTGTAGGGCATTATACATGGCATGTTCGATGGGGAGGTCTGCGGGCCAAGGCCAATGGGGATGACAGGTGGTGCCCGGAACTAAAAACATGGCCCAGATGTGCTTGAGGTCGTGACGTTCGATTTGGACGAGGGTATCGAGGGCGAGCTTCGGTGGTTGTAAAGCGGCCCACAATACCACCGGCATTGCGGCGGCCTTGAGCATTTCTTCGCGCCGGTCAGCATGGGTGCTCCAATCACCACAACCAGGATCAGAGTGGGAGAGGGATGGCTGAGACGACAAAATCAGGTCCGAGTTGCGAACGGAGGGAGAGAGAGGGTTACGAGGCTGCATATGAAAAACACCCTCGAATTGAACGTCGTCAGGAGGCGGATTCTCTTTGGAATTGCCGCAGCGTAGTTCGTATCCGTAGACAAGATAACCAGGATCCTGAATCCTGCATCGATCTTGAGAAAGGGCCAGTCGGAGAAGAAGAGGAATGGTCAATGCTGAAATGTTCTTGGAAGTGAGAGAGAGAGATCTGAGGGTGGGAAAATGATTGGTCTGGAGGACGATCAGCCTCAACACATCAAGGGGAAGAACAGGGCTACCAGATGATGATGGCATGTTTGTCGCTGGATTTGCTGGTGGGCGCATTGTTTTCGTAGGTAGGGACTTGATTGACATGGATGAGGGATGCCTATGATGGTGATGGAGGTACTGTTGAAGTGTTGAAGGTTGAGGTTGAGATGATGTGAGAAGGTTTGTGAAGTCGAAGAGGATCTAAAGGAAGGCGGTTGGGGAGGAGAAAGTACGGGAACAATGGGCAGGTAGAACCTCAGGCAGGAGATAGGGAGCGGAAGGCAGAAGACAAATACCTGGACACAGAAGGAGAATTCAAGGCAGGAGACAGCCCTGGTAATGGCACGCTGTGGCTTGGTCCCGTCTTGGCGGCAGTCGACTTGCTACAGAATAGACTGACAGAAAAGTGGATCTGTGGCTTGTTTCCATCAACTCCTTCCGTTTGGAGGGAAGCAATGACGATAGAAATCATACAAGAGAGCAGGTGCCTGATGGGCTGATGCCTTTTTGGGGCGACATCTCCGGCCTGAAGGTGCCATGCAGCCCTGACTTGCTGTAGCGAGACCTAGAGCACGGCCAACCGTCGGGAATACTCGAGGGCGCTGTCAATCAGGTCGTATGAACCGTTCTCACTCGATCAAGGAGATTAAGAAAAGTAAAATTTGGGAAAATAGAACAGCCATGAGTGATTCTGTGGAAACATAGGTTTTGAATTAGCTTTGTGTATGTAGCTTTTGTATGTGACATGTCTTTGTGAGATCTGATTGTCCAGTGCATGCTCATGCAAAGAGTGGTGGGTGGGTAGCAGAAGACATTCGTTTGCTTATATAATTGTGTGTTACATAATGCAGACCTCCCAGGGACCTTGACGTTGGGGATGGAAACGAAGCCATCACGATAAGAGTCATGTCATATTGCCCAAATATGACACTGAGAATCATGGATGTTGGTTTGCAAGCTAAGTATTTAATGTCTCGAAATTGTGCCAAACATTGAATTCCATGTCGAAACATGATGCCACCACGTTACATTACAAGATGAAATACACAAGTAACCAGCCCCATTTATTGAGTTGTCTTGTTATTGCCGGGTTTCTGGGTTTTCTGGAATAGCTGAGATGCAGAGACTGGACTCATTACTTCCTACCGTTTACACCCTGTGGCATCTACAGAAGTCTATACATTTTGGTTTCCAGGCCGTTTGACGTCCAAATGCAAATCAAAGGCAAAACCTACCAAAGCTGGGTTTCATTCTTAGACCAACCCACATCACTGTAACAAGTAAGTAAGCATCTAGGCACAGTCTAGTCCTACGTCAAACAAGGACGGGACCCGTCAAGGAGTAATCACCAATCCCAGACGGCCAAGCCATCCTCAATCATTGTTCTGTACAGACGCCCCCTTCTCTTTGGAGCAGTAACTAAAGCAAAACATTGAAGCCGCTCATCGAGAGCTAAGTAGCCTCCAACAAGTATCAAACGTTCTCAAAAATAAAAGAAAAAAAGGGACCACCTCTCTATTCCAGCAGGCTTTCGTACATGGCCTTGTAGTACTGCCTCAGCGGATCTGGTAACAATGGGGGTATGTCCCTTGCCGAACGAGAGGTCTTGGTGGCGAGGTCGGCGTTGCGAATGACATGAAGACCGCAGTCTGTACTGTTGGGCTGCTGGGGGCACTGCGAGAGCATGATTGAACCGTTAGCTATGGAGTCATTCTTTCATCACACCCTAGACTAGAGGGATATTAAGGGGGCTTCTCTCTTACGTTTATGGTTCGCGGCTCGGGGAGGGCCACGTCGTCGCCCCAGACGCGCCGCAGAAAGTCGTGCAGCAGTCGCGTCATGCGCGGCTTGTAGCCGTGGCCGAGGAGAGAGTCGTAAAAGTCGATGCTTTCCATTCGGCGACCCACAAACAGCACCCAGTGACCGTCATGGCAGACGGGAGCTAGCCAGCGATCCCTCGTGGCCAAGAACCCAAACCGGCTTTGGACGAGCCTTGTGGAGCGCTCCGTCTGGGACTGCTAGACGGCGATAATGTCAAACGACCCGACTCGGCCAAAGAGGGGGTCTCTTGCCGCGAAGCTCTCGAGAATTGTGTCGACGGTGCCGTCGGAAAGCATCTGACCAGGGCGGAACTCATTCAGGCTTTGTCGACGATCGGGGGGGTTCTGCTGTGCGATAAGAATGGCAGCAAGGTCTAGTTCTTCCTCGTCTATAGCGAGTTCCTGTGTTGTAGTTTGTTAATTTGTGTAACTCGACCTCGCAGGCCTCGCGGGTCTTGGAAGAGGGAGAGGTTGCTAGTGCTTACTTTGTTAGCTTCCGAAACTCGAGGCTCGGGGGGGTTTTTCTTGACGGGCCGCTGTTCCTCCTCGCTCTTGATGGCCTTGAGTCTGTCTATAGAGACGCGTTGGGTGGCTGGCTCGGGGGTTACTCTCTCTGTCTTGATCTTGACGGCGGGATTCGTGGTCGCAACAGTCTTCGGCGGGTTGTCTGGGAGGTTGGTGACGGGTCGCCTGTTCTGATGGGACCTGAGAGCGTATCTGAAGACAGAGGGAGTGACGCCTGTCTCACGCATTTGAGCAACTTTGCGTGCATCAGACTTTCGGGGAACAGCAGTCTTGTCGTCATGGGAGGAGTCGGTTGGTGACATGATGGCAGGCTACTCTGGTGAAATTTGACAAGTTGGACAGAAGCCTGTGGTAGAAGAAAGTAGTGAAGGAGAGGAAGGGAAAAGAAAAGTTGCTACGGAAAGCTGGGTAAATTACCCGAAGCGACTGACAAAGAACAAAAAATAAAAGAAAAAAGGGAAAGAGGGCGAGGGTGAGGTGCCTAGAGGTCGAAATAACATCTGGAAGTGGGGAGCTAGCAAAGGTCATCTAGGCCTTTTGTCTCGTAGTCTTCATGATGTTGTTGTTGGCTCTATCTAAAAATTAACAGCTTTGAATAAAACACGTGGATTGGTTCTAACATCTTGGTAGTCTAACCTGAAGCTGAATTTTAGTAATAGTTATGCTGACAAAAGCACCTGTGAAACGACCCAGGGCTAATTATCAATTATGTCTACAGTAGCCGGTTGTTACTATATATTCATTCTATTATGGCATTGGTCCCCAAGTGACTTATGTTTCGTCTGATCATGTAAAAATGTCTTCGCTCTTAGTTCCGAAGCAATTGCCATGCATAGATGTCTCGTGCAAGTCTTCCACAGTTACGCTTGCGTGGGAGATAAAGAGGAGAACATCTTAATTAGTAGGTCAACTACATCACATGCGCCATAACATCAAACAACAGAACATCATCACAGAGGTATGGGAATGCAAAATTGACAGGCAGAGAATTCTCCCGAAGACGCTCCAAATCATGCCCGAAGGCCGCTTTTCATTCCCCTCCCACCCAACCAGCTCCCAGTATCTATCATTGAAATGAAAAAACAGAAGAAGAAAAAACATTAAAAACACAAAATAGAAAAGAACAAATGAAAACAGCAGCAACACACCAAGGGCAAACAGAAAACGAACAGAACAAAGATAAAACAAGGTAAAGGAACTCAAAGCACCCTTCCAAAAGCAAGCCCCCACAACGTTGATCATCACCATCATCAGCAGCAACATTTACAAATACTCCGATACCATCTCCTCAATCTTCCTCCTTGCACGCTTCGTCATGACTGCTCGCCTGCCCGAGGGCAACAGATGCGCAAAGTGGCGCTTGGCGGCCCGCGACACGGCTTTTGCTGCGGCATCACCCAGGACATGAGCTATGTCATCAATTTCATCGGCGTCTAGGCCCTCTTTCCCAATATTGGCAGCAGCTGCAGCGGCGGCGGCGTTGGCAGTGGCCTCTTTCTCGGCGGAACGGCGACGGCGTGCGGCAGCATCGACCTTGTCCTTCTTCTCCTTGGCGGCAGCTAAACCGGCCTCTCGAATCATCTTGAACTTTTTGGACGTAGGGCCTAGCGGAATCCCTGGTTGTGCAAAGAGGTCTCTTAGAACGCCATCTACAGACACGTCGGACTCATCTTCTTCGTCGCATTCAGGCATCGGCGGCGGGGATGGCGAAGATTGGCGCTTCAGCGAGAGGGCGAGATGGTCGGCGGGCGTGGTCTTGGACTGTCGGAGTGGAGAGGAAGTGAGGTCTTCGGCAGGTATTGGTAAGCCAGAGCGCGGCGCCTCGAGCTCGAGCTCGGACTCGGACTTGACCGGAGCTTTTGGAGGAGGAGGAGGAGCAGACTTGGACTTGACTGGAGGCACCGGCACGGCGAAAAGCGCTTTCGCACGGCGCAGGGCGGCTTCGGCGACTCGTCTTGTAAGAAACCTGCTGCGGGTGTTGTAGACGATCTGGCGAATGATGCCGCATTGGGTTGGGTCCGGGGACACGGCCCAGAGGTCGGACAGCGGGCGGCCCCTAGCCTGACGGGTCCAGAGCTCGGTAAGGGTCTTCATAGGGGTGAGGACTTCGAGAGGTGGTGGGTCGATGGAGGGGGTACAGGAAAGGGGGTACCACTGGCCATTAGGCCATTGGTTCCGAAGGAAAGCGAGATGGGACTGGACTAGGTCCTGTCTTGGGGTGGGAGTGATGCCATGGCTGGCGAGATGGTGGGAGATGCCGGCGGCGTGGCTGGTGGTGTGGTAGATGAGGGCAGCGGCCTGGTTCCCCGTGACTAATGGTGCTGCTGCTGTGGCCCACTGGCCCAGGTTGGCGTCTGTAGGGTGCTGAAGAAAGGGGTAGCGGGTGATTGTGTCCTATGGTGTGTTAGTTGTGTCGAATGTGACTTGAGTGTTGTAAACGTTGTATCTTGATTGTTGTGGACCTTTGTGACTTGGGCTAGACGAGCTTGGAGAAACCAAGGAGATACTGGGTATAAGTATACGGAGACTTACAATCATGCCATTGCCGGGGAGAGGTCGAGGGGTTTGATGCTGCTGCTGCTGCTGGTGATGTTGCTGGTCTTGGTCCTGGTCCATAACGGCGCAAAGAAGAGCGGGCAGACAGGAAATGCAAGACGCAAAACAAAACCCGACAAGACAGACAGACAGAGGGAACAGAACGGAATCAAACAAGAGTCTTTGAAAACAGACGCAGAAAACAGACGCGGCAGCAGAGGCGAAAGAGAAAAGACGAAGTACCACAACGGCTGGATGGTTGTTCACTGGTTTATTCTTTTTTTTCTTGTAAAAAGTGCCTTATCTAATTTGAAACTCTTCTATCGTAGGCGGCAGTCTGTCTCTCTTCCTCTCTCCTTCCTTCCGTGGCAGCGCTAGACAGACACGCGTCGACGACCTTTCCCATTACATAAGCTATTTCAACTTTCCTCAGGCGAGGCTGCTGAACCTGTGAGAGGCTGAAGTTCTCTTTTTCCTGCTCAGGACTTTTCTTCTCTTATCCTTCTCCAATTCCATTCTGCTTCTTTCTCTACTCCACGACCTCGCTCTTCTACACCCATCGTTCCTTCAATCGAACGACTCCATCTTCCTAATCCTCCCCAAACTCTATCTCCTCTGCAAAGGTAAGCTGCTATTAGCAACATTACTGCTTAATTTACTAGATTGAAATACTAATCATCTACGATTTACCTTCCTTCAGTATAGTCTCGCTATGGATCCCACCACCACCGACCATCACTCCTCTCCTCCCATCCACATCAGCCTTGAACTCAATGACCACGACGACGAGATACTACCTCCCATCCCCGATCTCTTCTCTGAAAGCCAACAGACCCCTCCCGAGCATGAAAGTTCCACCGACGAGCATTCACTCGAAAATCCCATCCCGGCCTCTCAACTTGCCGATCTCTCTCCACCTGGCGAAGCTACCTGCTCCACTGCTGGCCATCGCTCCTACGTCGAGCCCGAGTCCGACCGCGAGTCCCCATTTAGCACACCTGCACCTGAGCAAGTAAGAGAAGTCATCATTGCCTTCGTCCCAGACAACCCTCTCTGACTCATCTTTTGCCAGATGCCCCTCTGGACCGAGCTTGAGACGGGAATGCTTATCAGATTTCTGCACACAGCGTGCAGCCCTCTAAGTGTAGGCGAGATTTCTGAGTACATGGCTCGAAGTCTGACGGACACCGCCGCCATGGTGGTGTGTCTCTGGCTCTCGGCCGTCCGCGTGTCCGAGGCCCGTGGCACCCGACTCTCTTGGTGGATTGGCCGCCCTGTCTTTAACAGTATCGGCTCTGGCCGCGTCTCCGTGTTTTTGCGAGAAGGGAACCAGATCATGCTGCGGTTCTACGACGTAGAGGGAGATCTAGAGGCCGAGGCGCCCATTCATGATCCCAGCCAGATGTATGATGAAGGAAGCTTCTGAGTTGATTTTTTGCTGCTGTCACTTGTTGTTGTTGTGTTACTGTTTTTATTGCTGCTGTTAATGTGTTCAGCAATGTCGTTGTTTTAGAGTTGGGCGTGATGCCCCAAGCCCAATTACATTGAGAGGCGTTCCCCAAAAGGTCATGCAATACCCTTGTAGAAAGCATTGTGACGTGATCGACTGGCAGACTTTCTGCCCATAGTTTTCACCCCTGCAAATTTGGTCTTTTGTGTGTGCACATCTGTCTTGGAAATAGCCGCACCTTGTCTAAATATCAGTAACGAGCATGTTGATGGTGATTCCTTGTGTAAATTTGACTCTTTGTTGCCTAATCACTGTGCTTACCTCAGTAAAATCGCTTAGTGGGGCTGGTCTGGTTTCCCAGGCGCCTTGTGACGCTTTGTGCAGTTGTTATCGAAATTCCCTTAGTACAGTAGGGATGAAAGGGCGCTGAAAATGGTTCAGTGCAGGGTTCCTTTACAGGGGTTTATGAAACTTCATCTAGCACTAATTGACGGACTGGGCAGATTTGGGATTTGTTACGACATGAACAGACGCATTTAATATAACGTCTGGTCAGTCTTGCATTCGAAGATTGGGCCATAGGGTGGCTATCTAACATACAATAGATCGGGGACCGCCCCTGTGTGATGCTGATACCCGCTGTGAGTTTGGATGTTTCAGTGATGTAAGACCAGTTTGCACCGCTGCAGTAGTAGCGTTAGTGGTGGGGCTTTGAGACCTGCGAAAAGGTAATAGCGAGCAGCTTCACTATGCCACCCATAGCGCCGAGAGACTGCGGGATCAGTGTCATGACATCGACCCCCATTTATGATAACGCTGTCATAAAATGGGTAACTCATTGGTAGTGTTGTTCATCGCCTTAATTGCATGTCTGAATAGCTTACATAAGCTCTTTGGGTTGTTTGAAATTATGACACCAACTTCTCGGTCGGCAAGCAAACCAGATGCACCTTTGGCTTTAATGCTACATTTGGATTTCTATGACTTTATCAAGGGCTTTTGTAACAAATGTCAAAGTAGAGGTGGCTTACTTCTATCGCCATGCTTATCAACCATACAAAGAGAAAACCGGCCTTGTCACTCTGTATCAAATGAGAACATCATACTTTTCCCATTTTGTAGACTCCCAGCGACGAGGCATCGTGTCATCCATCTCTTTAACGACAGTAGCGTCTTTTACACCCGAACGAAAAGCTGAAGCATTGGGGTGTGTATCTTCCTATTGCGCTCGAATTTTAACAGCAAAAGTGCGCAGTGCTGCTCTGGATGAGCCAAAAGACACAGTGACAAGTTAGTGAGTGGGTGAGTGTACCTGTTCCGACTGTGTTATGTAAGACAGGCACAGACGTTCTGGCTCATTCCCTGTGTGCTCTGTAGCCTGCTTCAGTCGGTGAGCAGCTTGTGTAACAATTGAGGGGTTCTCTGTAGGCAAACAAAGCCTTAGTGATGCCGCTCATTGTTCCGCCAGAAAGACCCTCTGTAAGCCTTTCCTGCCTTTCCTTCCTCAACCGTCCACCTCACAACTTAAACAACACAAAACCACAGCAAATCGACCGTGACTCTGCGCGTTTTCCATCAATCATCATGGTTACTACTGTGAGTCTATCTCTTTCACCCTCTTAGTTCTTTCTGTGTCTTGCCCGTCTACGTATCTTCTTGCACATACGACTGACACCCTTGTTCGTTCCTTGTATCGCTTTGCTTCACTTGTTCTCCAGACTCCAAAGCGCTTATTCACGTCGTCTTCACTAACTCTTTGACAGGTACTCCCGATTGACGAGACTCTGGACAGCCTGGAAAGATGCCTGAGCCTTGCAATCCAACTATCGTGCGATCTCGAGCGACCTAACAATGCTCCGACCAACAATGATGTTCCTTCAAACGAGTTTTCTCTCGAACCCGATTGCTACGTCGAATTGATCCGACGCCTCGAGAGCGACCACCGAGTCTCCCTCGACAAGCTTCATCTCGAGTACGAACCCGATGCCCGTCTTTTGCGATTCAAGATGACCCAGGGCCGACTCCATTCGGCCATGGCCAGTCAATTGGGCGACCTGCTAAGAGACATCGCCAGAAACGTCTTACCCGACATTCAAGCCATACGCGAGACACCCGTGACGATTGCCGCACCTGCTGATAGCCCCTCCATTGCACCCTGGAGTCGCACCCCCGATGTGGCTTAGAGAGTCAACATGGAGGATCACACCCCGCGTGTCGTCGCTGAAGTCGCCCACTCCCACCCTACAACCTTGGACGCCTTGGAGGAGAGGTGCACTGAGTTTCTCTCCTGTTCCGCGGGATATGTTCGTGCCGTCATCGCCATCAAGATTCCCTACTCACCCGGGAAGCCCATTGAGACTCTTCTTGACGAACTTGACCGCTGCTTCGTCGCGCTCTGGGTCTGGCAGGACGGTGCGGTAAAGCGCGAGTTGCCCTGGACCAAAATCACCGCGCAAGATGCTGTCCTGAGTCTACGCATCTCGCATCTGAGGGGCTTAGCAACTCGGGCAAGTACGCACCGCAAGACACGTCGCAGGTAAGCATGGTTGTTGCAGCTCGAGAATAAGAAGAACGGCTGTTTCTTCCCTTTCGGACTCATTCTGACACCTAAACAGAGGTCCCAAGGGTCGTCGCACTCGCCGTCCTAACTCCTCCAACGACTTCATCCGCATTCCCTTCGCCACCCTCGAGGCCGAGCTCCGTAAAGCCGTCCACTGGGCTAGCCTCGATCCCACCACCCGCTGACCGCACTGCGTTGTGACTCGTGAAGCGGTGCCCGTACGAAATTCAGCCCTCAAAGCTACAATTGACGCCGCTGGCACTACATGCACTGTCCATGTAGAATCGGAAGTGGGAGAACACAATACAGGGAATGCTAACACTGCGGCACGAGCATGGCGTAAGGATTGCGCGAGTGCAAGAACAGAAAGAGGAGCAATTGGAACTACTAGCCTTTTTGGACGACGTGAGTGTGCAGGTTGGATGTGTCGAGATGTTAAAGTATGGTGCTGGAATGTGTAAGTACTGTTGTTAGGTCGGACGGATTATGAGGAGAACTAGGCCCACACACGGCCATAGCCTGAAAGGGACTCACGCAAGCAAAGTCCGGATTTGGGTTGGACAGTGGTACAATAATAGCAAGATGAATGGTTTTTACGGTCGTTCTTCGAGGTCAGGCATTACCCAGTACCTATTACAATATTGCACTCGTTCGGGTGGCATAAGATCAGGTCTTGGACCTCGATTCTTCCTCGAGAAATGTTTCTGTGTCGGATCTCCTTTCTTTCGGACTCCCCTTGTTTACAATTTCTCTGTCTGAACCACCAAGCCCTTTGGATCTCGTGAGGCTATGCATTAAGGGTCATAACAGATCCCCTTGCATTAGGACATCCTTGCTACCTTAATTCATACCTCTAGTTAAGCACAAGTCAGGTCTCTCGAGGTGGATCAAATACCTTCACGAATTTGCTGTGTCAGCTTGACAGATATAATGATGGGGGCATGGTCTAGAGAGAGACGATTTCAAAAGTCTTTACTAAGAGTTCTAAACCTCTACTAGACCACTGACTGATGGGGAGCGATGGGAGGCAGCATTCTGAGGTCTTCTTTCTTCTTCCTGTGAGATTGATCCACTGTTTTTGGCATACCATTTGATCATGATCTCTGTCTTGACGGCTTTTTTCAGACGGATCTCGCAAATTGTTGCACAAAAGACAAAGTTGAGCACGACCAATACACAACCACATGTGGTGATGATAGCTACCTGAGTCCGTGTCAGTGACCGTAAGCTAAGGTATTATACATTTCACTGAACTTACAGTTCTCGATATCCTTGCTTGTGATAAGTCAAAGACTGGGGTCAATAGATTCAACGCGTATCCGATGATGAAGAAGACCCAGGAAAAGTTCATGAGCATCAGCGGACATTGCCAAAGCCACATCATCTGCATGCTGATCTTTCTCTCCTTACCCTTACCAGCGGGTGGTTTCAAGAATAGGCTCAAGGCCGTGAAGCACTTCTTTTCAACCAACATGTCTTCTTGCTTGGTGGATGTCCCCTTCTCGTATGGAGGCAAGTGTCGAAGCAGGCGGTGATGGGCCGAGCTGATGAGGGCAAAGAAGGACAAGAACAAGCTCCAATGCCAAAACATCTTGGCCACCCATACTGCAGCTTCAGTTGTTGGCCACGAGAAAACACCAATGACTGCTGCTCCAGATATTGTTGCCTTTGTACCCAGTTTGGTAAGCGTCGTACGCGATCTGCTCGGGTCAGACGAGGACTATACTCACTGCCCTCTGTATGAACACTAATTCTTCTTCCTTGAGCCGGCGAAAGTGTTCCAGCGCTCTGATTGTTGCATCTGTATCTCTGATGTAGTCCTGGCAACGGTGAATTTCTGTTATGGGCTCGAAAGTATGGAATCTGAAAGATCCAGAATACGTAAAGGTCAAAATTTTGAATAAAGCATCCAGCAGCGGATTGTCCGAAAGTCTCAATCGATTTGGATCGAATAGACTGAAAACGATAAAGCGCTCTTCGCGGTTCTTATCATCGTTTTGCTTGTCGCAGTGGATAGCTTGAGTCGCTGATAACCGGGCATACAAGTTTTCTAGTATGCTTACATTAATTACCGTTGTCCAGCCTAGCAAGGATCCGACTTTTTCACCATCCCTGCGCCAGCCCATCAACCATGGACCGTAATACAGACACAACCGACAAGTGGGAGTGCCGCCATGGCTGAACACTGCCCTTCGTACACACCTCTTGACGCGAGTCGCGACCATGACATATACCTTTACGAAACGCCTCTATCGTCTCAACTCAAACTCGGGCATAATGTGAAGTTAGGTGGTTTCGTCTACGATCTGTCTAAAGATGGCCAGGACGCGTTCGGAATAAGGCCCAAACCAAAGAAGGGATGGTTCGACGCCAGATTAGTCACAGAATGCGAAGATGCATGGATAACCACCACTGCCAAGCCATGGACACCTGCAACCCTCCAATACGTCAGTGAGCACCCGCGCAGAAATTCTAAACAATTGTTTCCAGGTTAGCCACAACTAAAAACACATGTAGCTAAGCAGCTGAGCAGGTTTGGGAAATCCTCCTGCAGAAGAAGTATGAGGCTGACAACCATAATTGCCAAGTCTTCGTGTGGCTGCTTGTCGAGCTTATTCGAGACCCGAACAAGGAGGTTCAATATCCGAAAGCCTTCCAAAAATCGATGAGAACCTTGCGAAAGAGCGCTATCTGGGGCTGGGGACTGATGTTTGCGGGTTCAGCTTTGTTTGCTTCTGTGGATGGCGGAGCTACATTGATGATGAATCTCTGCTACGCGCTGACCTGGAGTTGTAATACTACAAATGTTGTTTTACAGCACGAAGGACGAAGGGAGAAAAGACAGAGCTCAAATCGAGCGTCTTGAAAGTTTGAGGGAGTGGATGTACAAAGAAGGTGCCCTCAGTGTTTAGGTATAGATACCATACTTGAAGTAGAGAGAGAATTGCACCAGGGTGCTTTTCTTATCTCTGTTATTACCATTGTTGTTAGTATATAGAAATACATTGATCACCTTGAGGGAAACCACAAATAGCGAAATCTCGAGAGGTTAGGATTAAACGCCTGCTATCAGGATCTGTAACCCTGATGCCCAGCTTTGTCCGTTTCCCTTGTACGCATCCTCGTTCGTAGCATATCTGAGCAGACCGTGATGTATTGTACTTTTATACAGTTGTCTTCTCTACCTATATAACGCGCCCAGAACTGGTACTGCTGAAAATGACAAGAGATTTGGCTTCCCACCAATTACTCTAAACTATCTAAATATCTAGTGCCCTGGCGGCTCATCTCATTAAAAGAAGCCTGGAGGTAGTAGAGGACGAACTGTGGAATGCCGTTCTAGTTGCGCCTGATCCTTAGAAGACTGAAAGAGAAAGCTAGTCAAATAATCCTGCCTGTTGTTTCTTGGGCCGGACATATCCATTCGGAGGCTAAAGGTCGAGGCTCGGCACTGGCGTAACCCATCCGAGACCCGATTTAGGAAGGACTCGAGAACCCTTTGGAGGAACAAGCGACCCTGGCAGCGCGCTTCTTCGTTCTTGATAATAACTGATTGTTGCTCTCGTACCAGCTGTTGGGCTATTGCTCAGCTCCAAACGTTGACGAGTGCGTCTCCAGGAGCTGGCGCGTCTTCTGTCGTAGGTAGGCCCTTGGCATCAGATTCGCCTCCAAAGGCTGCCGGGGGCGGAACGTCGTAAAACGACGCAAGTAATAGACCGAAGATAAAATGCCTAGTTGTAGAAGACACCCAGGATTTCCAGAGGGCCAATGAAGTCGGGCCTGCTGTAAATGACATCCCAACTGGTCCCCAACTTAGGCACACTTGGGCCTTCAAAGTAAAAGACAAGAGAGTCGCCTGGGTAGAACATGTTTGAGCCGGAAAAGGTACTGAAGATCTCCGGGAGTTCTTGGGCAGGGTGATCCATAAGCTCGTTCCAGTCGTCGTCATGAGGCTCAAGCCTGACTGCAGAGCTTCAATCCTGGTGAGATACTCGATAATCCTGGCAAGTCAGTAGTCAGGGACCCGCGTGTTAGCATTTTGTTTCTTGTTATGTGAAGAGCTTCGTTCAAGTCTTCCAGCTCTGGATTGATTTTAGATGTGTGAATGGTAAGTGACAGACGTTGTGCACGTCTTCCAGCCTGTAATCACAAACGACACCAATCAGGCTGCCTTTCTATCAAAAGCAACATTATCAGCCTTGCTCGCGCTTAAATTAGGTTAGGGGGGTCCTAGTATGCAATCTATGCCCCTGGACAAATCTCGCTCTGTTTACAGCTACACAGCCAATAGTTACAGCTAACCCTTGGCCTCCCTTACATATCCGCGTCTTCCAAACTGAGAACATTAGCGAAGATTAGAAGAAGCCGTGCACGACCTTGAGTCACCGATAGGGCAAGGGAAAGTTCGTTCAGCTCACAGGTGAAGATTTTGACGCCCTCACCACCGAGGGAATCCCTTGGAATTCCGCTAGAGCCCTCCCAAAGAACAACTACAGCAACAAGAACTTCGTAGAGGCTATCGAAGTCACGCGGAAACTTGGAATATGATAAAATTGGATTAAACTCCATTTGTATTGTTCAAGGCAACGTGGTAGACTAGGAGGCCGAGGTGAAGCGTATGCATAATGTGTACTAAAACTCCTGTTGCAACCTTACTGCTGTTGATTCGGAAGACTGCCACGGCGGATTGTTCCGATATCGTAAATACGATGTGTTACCCAGCAGAAACGTCCCTGATACTTTCTCACTCAGATTCAGTGGACGTAACTGACGGGTTCTCTCCTCCGATCTTTGAGATAAAGTCCTCCTCGAAGCCCCCTCTACGCCTGCAGCTGGGTTTTCCAAAGACTTATTACCCGCTTCACTTGCCGTCACCGATTTGACAAATGATAAAACGCATGTTGTCTCCCCTTCTCCTCCGGTTTGGTCGGGATCAGGTGATCTGGGACTGTAACACCATTTCTGCCTGCGAAGCCCTCCCCGACGGCCTGCCGCTGACCTGCATCGCATGCGGTGAGGACGACGTCCCCGTCAAAGCATGGAGAGAACATACCACCAGCTGCGCTGCGATTTGGGGTTGACGAGAACCGGTCGAGGGATGGAAACTCATCTCAATCGCGATCTGACCCAATTGTGAGGACGTGCAGGGCTTGGAGGACATGGGAATCGGGGGCGATCATGAGGGCGAAACAAGTTGCCCGGCGGAGTACATTAAGGCAGCGGCATATGTCCGGGAGGAGCAAAACGACAATTAATGGGAAGCAGTCGCGAAGGCGGAAAAGATGATTGCCTTCTGCTGCGGCGTCGTCTTTTTCGACAAAACCTTATACGACAGCCCATCCAACCACCACGATCAGGCACAATGCGCTACATTCCACAGTACGCCCGCGAAGATATACACGCCGTGTATGAAGCGATGGAATGAGCAGGCCTACTTTATTTTCATTTTGTTTCCGGAAGAATTGCGGATATCCACAGACCGGCACTGGCGCCAACTCCTGCAGGAAGCCGAAATCACTGTCAAGGCCGCAATGAGTTCTCTCGAGAAGTTCTGGGAGAGATTCATCTACACACATACTTCCTGCAAGCTCACGGAGCAGTTTTACAAAGATGACGATATGTGGGACATCGGGAGGCTCATGCGTGATATACTGGGTGAGGAGTACGCACAAGGGTTGTGTTCGACATCCCTTGAGGAGCAGTTTGCATGGCGGGTCACCCTAAAGTGATGGAACTCAAGACCGAAAAGCTGGATTTGGAGAAGAAGAAATTTTCCCCTCACTGGTCGTGGACTTACCTGGACGTGCCGATCCAGGTTATACCGACGTTTTGAGGCAACCCCCGGTTGTGCGTGGCGACCAATCAAGAAGCAGGAAAGGCCAACTTCGACTTTGAGAAGTCATATTTGGGGCGGTTGAGGACAGAGGACTTCTCTGGTGGCAAGAAGCAGCTTGAAACCGTTGCGAAGAAGTCTAGCAACGCCAAAGAGAATTGTGGAAACGGTCAGATGGGCAATGGATGGAAATTAGACGAACCCTCCAAGCTGAACTCTGAAAAATTCGCTATCCAGTGACACATTTGCCAAAGCACGCTTCGGTTTGAACGCGGCAAGGAGTGATGGGTGGTTGACATTGAGGGGATTGAGGGTGATGCGGTCACTGAAGTATTCCTGTACATTCAATCCCTCCAAAACGAGGCTCGCTGCGAGGTCCTTGTGCTTGCAGCATCGAGATTTTTTTTGGACTAATCGGGACGAGATATTGTGGACAATAACAACGTCAAGGATGAAGACTTCATAGATGGGCAATATTCGGGAGCCGGAATTCTGGTAGAGCGGAATGTCGATGGCTTCCTTGTAAGGTTTGGTGCGGTAAAATCCTGGCAGATATGTTGGGACGACTTGGGGTATTTCCGGCTTGCCTGCTCTGCGTATAAGGAGGCACTTTTTGACAACTCTCAAGATAAGAACGGAAACAAGATTTGGTGGCCTGTTTGAATCTGAACGACTTGACGCAACTAGAATGATGAATTCAACATTGAAGAACTCATGGGAACTACCAAAAGTCGATCACTAATGGCACCACCACAAAGCCTGAGAATTTCCAGAAATAGAACGATTTTGTTGGAATGCTGGCTACGTACCACAGTTCGGACGATACAGAAACTATCAACACGCTACAAAACCGTTATCCTTTCCCCAAGGCTCATCATCGAATGGCGTCCAGTCCTTACTGTTACGGGCTATGCCCAGTTATGTGGCATGAGCTGTGCCCAAGCATTAATACCACCATACTTAAGTATAACAGAACCTCAAGCATACAGCTTGTTGTTACGTACCTTTTGTCATTACCATAAGGTGGGCTGTATATCCCAATGGGTAGTTATGTCTGCTATCATATTTGCCCCACAAGGGGCCAACCCATCACACTTACTAATTCATAAGACTGTGTATACGCCATGAATCCTCCACATCTTCTGCGATATAAAAATGTTCTCGGCTTCAACTTGAGATAAGGTACTTTTGGAGATGGAATTCCAACCAACACTGTTCTCCCCTTTTTCCAGCGAAATTTCGTAATGTACGTCGGTAAAGCTGCTCCTCAGTGTTCATTGATGGAGTGTAAGCCATCCTGAGCAGGCTAGCCACGTGCGGCAGCCTCTGTGAGGAACTGAAGATATTTAGGGAACCATTTTGGCAAAAGTTTTCACGCCTGGGTCTGTAGTGTCGTTGGTGATGGCATTATGGTGTGTCTCTTACCCTGGAACAGCCGCTATTAGTCCTGACGGCGGCAAACACCAATCAAGATGTCATTCCAATTTAGGATATCCGGATTTAGTGCAGACTGGTTGGTCGAAATGAAAGTCCGCACAGGCTAAGGTCTTACAGGCTTCTTATGTTTTATACCATTCAACTAGTTTTAGCCCAAGTCAAGTTGTATTTGGAGGCTGTTGTAGCATCCCCATGGTAGAACTCTCTTAATTTAGAGGCCAGATTCTCGCCAGAAGTTACGGGGAGCCAATTCCATGTACGGACGGTGACAGTTGATTTTATATCTAGTGCTCTCCGACACGGACGGCTGAAACATGCAGTCCATAAGTCAGTTTGATTCGAACCATCAGTACATACGACCATACCCATTGGAAAACTCGGGATCCCGTCCGCTCTCCCATAGATAAGCCAATGAGGGCCGGATTAGTAGTTGGGTCGGTGACGACCAGCGAATACCTGGTGTTGTATGTTTTTTTTGTCCGCTGTTTATTTCTTTTTTGCCTCGTTGCATTGGTTTAATAATTTGAGAGTGAGGCGCTGTCGATGCGGCCCCTGGTCGCTAATCAGATGGTTCTCTCCTCTCACGTTATAAAATTGTGCTCCATAGGAAAATGGGTCTCAACATGCTTAGGTAGATGGAAATATCACTCTGGGATTAATGCGTATATTCCGGGTTCGTACCAACCCGTTCTACTGGTTCTCCAGGTGGTGTTGGCGTTAGAAACAAAGTTCATCACCTTTGTCGTCAGTGTTTGGTTTTCCACATCTATGTATCACTTGGGACAACAGGTCAGGCTTAAGCAAAGGCAGTCAGTGGTTGCTGGATCGGCTCATTACCTACAATATGGCTTGCCACATGTATAGCTTTTGCTTCTTTGGAAGCCAAGATGCCTTTGGTACTCTGACGTTGCATTCAGTTATATATTGGCGACGCCTGCAGTGGTGAGCTCGGGTTGTCGTCATAAGGCGGCGATGCTTGCCTAAGTCGATGTGATTGATACGTCGAAAACATTTATGTTCGTCAGGGTTGTCGAAAGATCTAAGACAGTACCTATACTTGTGTTTTTTTAGATACTATGGGCACAAGGAAGCTTGCGATGTAGTATGGTTGGCTCATGACCCCCAGGGGCTGACGGTGACTTGAGTGAGTCCGGCGCCTATTGCCCCTGCTCAATCTCCCGTATCTCACAGTAGGCGGAATACCTATCAGGTGTGTGCGCTTAGGGCACTGGGCCCACTACTTCTCCACCGCCCCCTTGTAAATAAGTGATCTTGTCATTAGGTTAGTCATCAGCAAATCCGAAATGGTGTAATGGTCAACATTTGACGCTCTCATACGAGGGCTCCGTCAGGCTCGGGGTTCAATTCCCCGTTTCGGAATATGTTTTTGCCATTTTCTTCGTTTTGTTATGGTCATCTGTGATCTGGTCGATAAATTGGACAGACCACTGCATCGATTGGAAGAGTACTTACTAATAATGATTTGACATAATCCAAAAACTCCAGACAGACATATAACATCGAGGTGTGGTTGGCTGCATGTACATTCTCATGAAGGGAAACAATCGCGCAGGAAGGTTGGTATCTGTGATTGGGGTGGTATCCCTGTTAGTTATATGAGAGAAATTGGGAGCAATTCCATGTCTGCTCTTTGGGTAATAGTCCGGCCATGTGGTAAATTTGCTGCTGGGGCAAATAAATATTGAGGAACAGGCGCAAGTCGACGCCTCATGTCCGCCACATGAGGAGGCGTGGCGGCTCTGGGTTCCTCACTAGGGGGTGTGGAGCTTTGTAGCCAACGTTAAATAAACATCTTGGAAGCAGCAATTATCGTTTAAGAGAAGATAGTGTAGCCGCAGTGTACTTCCCCTTGCCTTGTTTGCTCTGACGAACGCTAGGGTACTTGGCACCGGAGGAAGAACAAGAGGGTTTAATACGTCAGTAAGGTAGGTACTTACCCAAGATGCCTAATATCTACTTCCCAGAACAGCAGGGTATCAACAATCACCTATCTTCACCACCTATGAGCTTGTGTTCACTGTCCCATCAACTGCTTGATAGCCACAGGTACAAGACGACAAGAGGTAATATCCAGTCAAGTATTAGTCCAGGACTTTTCTAGCCAACCAAAAAACACACTTTTATTTTTTATTTATTCTGACTGATGCGAAAGTAGTTGTAATTTTTTAGCTGCCTGTTAGATGCTGCTTATGATCCGTTTGGTGGTCGGCAGTGTGCGGCATTCCGAGACGCGCTTCTGCACAGGGCGCATCATAATGTGACTCTTTTGTAGGAACAACCATGACAACTTCTCTTAGAGGACCAACTTACAACCGTAAGAAACGAACTTGGTGCCTGCCCAGTACAACTGAGATGTTGCAGTGACGTATTCTTGAGGAAACCGGTTGGCAACAACTTATAAAAGGGAGGGCCTAACAGCGTCTTTGCTCTGGTATTGTTCTTTATCTTTTGGTACCAAAAGAAGAGAATGAAGCAGACAAGAGATAGATAGAAGTTCAAATTACTATGAAAATGCAATCAACGGTTGCCTACCGGTTGCCTACCAATGTCAAAACCCCCTGTCATCATTGACATCCGAGAGCATGACGCTTGAGAAAGTATAACAAAGAAATGAAAAGAAAGAGAAACGTCGCTCTTGATGAGTTAGTCCTGTCATGGACGCTATTAACGCGGTACCTTTTTCTCTGGTCGCTTCCAGTGGTATGACAAAATCGACCTGGGAATGCTACGCATGGGCGTGGGTGCTGTTGGAGTTGGACGTGTGAACGAGTAAACTGCAAGATGGATATAGGGGTTACAGGGGAACTGCTAACGATTTTTAGAGCCAAAACCGTCATCAGTTCCTCTCCAACTCCCCACAACCCGCATGCCCCACCACCGTATGCTCTCAAGTTATGGAGAACTGTTGCACTTGACCTCTGCTCTTAACGATCGGGGTGCCCTTTCAGCGACTGCCTTGTGGGGTTGCACCTGTGGGTATTCAGCCCTCGATGGGAAAGCCCACGCTCCCTTGAGGTTGATCCTTCCTCACCCATCAAAAGAGCTATCTGATATGAGCCTTCATGCTGACTAACGTCAACGTCCTACAAGGCCTAACAGGCCAACACATTTCTTAATTTCTCGAGAGCATTCACTTAGGTGACGTGACTTACATACAGCTTGCTGAGAAAATACATCCACACGCCCACAATCACTCAAGTGCGCAAAGCCTCCATGACCGACCCCAAGTCTCTTTTCATGATTCATCCCTCCTATTTCGCACATGTCGACGTCTTCTGCCGACGAAGACGCTCATTCTGGTAGCGACGCCAGCCCTCCCACCCACAACCAACAAGTGATCCCACAAGCGATTCGAGACTTCTGTTCCGAGGTTGACAAGTGCTCCATCGCCATACAAGCCATCTATCCGACCTTTAAGCGCCTCGAAACCGCCCTCGGCAAGCCTCCGACGAGTCTCGATCCCTGTCAACTTCGTCGTCTGCTTCCCGACTACGTTGTTGCCAATCTCGTCAGCGTTGCTTCTGCTGAACTCGACAGCCTATCCTCACAAGTCCGATCCAAGGTCCAAAAGGCAGCCAAGTCGTGGAAGCTATCCCGCCGCCATCTTCTGTTCCTCCTCGCCAACGATCATTACCAACGTGGCAAGCCCTTTTTCACCGAGCTCTCCTTGTTTGCTGCTACATGCGCCGACCCAGCTCACGCCTTCGAGTTGCTCTGTCGTTGTGCACAAACTCGCCGAGCCAACAGAACCATCGCACCTGTCAAGCGACCTGGGGTTTCTCAAGAGGCAGCAGGCATCATTCTAGATGATATTCGCTGTGCGACAACTATCTTTGCCCAGACGACAGGCGCGGCCCCCATGTTAGGTCCACCATCGCCAGCGAAGCAGATCACTCAAACGTCAGTCCAGGAAGAGAGGCGAGAGGTAGCCAAGTCGCCGACACCATCATCACCAGAAAGTGCAATCAGATTCAGTCCGACTCCGGAAGCGTCGCGTGCTGCTCCAAGTGACCATCATCTGCCCTCCATTGTTTCCGCAAAACAATCTGAGATACCGATACCACACAGCCTGGATGCCAGCCCTTCCATTTTCGCTGATACTCCTCGACAACAGCCCCAGCAGGGAGATTGCCTCGAGAGCTTGGACTTCGACAGCATTTTTGGCGACGACGATAACGACGACTGCGACAGCGACTACGCGTACGACTTCAGCCCGGGTGGCAACATCAATATTCACCCAGGGGCTGTCATCCACCAAGACGACGTCGACAACATCGAATCATTGTCAGGTCCAGTTGTTCATGCGTCAGAGGCTGGAAGCTCTTCCCCTGTACATGACATGTCCGCGCCGCTGCAATTACCCGAAAGCGTCAATACAAAATTGCGTGGTAGGAGGGCAACATCACTGGAGCCGGCATCCCTTCGACATGACGCCAAAAGAAGTCCAGATCCGGAACAGTCGGCACCGGAAGCGAAGAGACATCACCCGGAGAACCACACCGACGAGATCTCAGACGCTTCAACTAAAGCCACCGAAACTCGGCATCACACCACATCGGCTAGGGGTGATATTTTACCACAGACGACGCTAGAACCAATACTTGAAGAGGGAGAGAGCTCACTTGAAGGAGCGTCAGCCCTAGGCAAGGACTCTTTGGTCCTCAACTCTGCGTGTACAATTCTCGACCCCTCAACCTGGATCCGGGGGGAATGGTTGGTCAGCGCCTTGTCAGATGTATGCACCGTGTAGGGCCCGGATGTCTATGTGGTTGACCCCGCTGAGTCGTCCCTGATGACCAAAGAAACATACTCTCCCCACAAACAAGTGGCGGACTTAATTGCTGCCTGCAATACAATACTTTTGCCCTTGTTCCATCAGAACCACTGGGCCCTTGTCATCATCCGCCGCGAAGGAAGAACGTTGCGAGTACCCGAGTATTATGATTCCCTGCCAGCCAAGACAAACTTCATGGCCAGCAAGCGCCATGTTTCCTCCTTTCTCAGGCATTATCTACCTCAAAGTCAGCATGCAGGCCAGACCCTGTATCAATGTGTGGCACCCATTCAAGACGGCGGCAATGACTGCGGGGTTTTCACTTTCGCTTTCGCTCTACATACAGTAGCAGCAAAGCCACTTCCTCGTCGGCTTCCCTCTGCGACGTGGCGCCTCATTCTCGCGGCCTGCCTAGGAGTTCAAGATATTTCTTGGTGGTCTCTTATCCCAGAAGAGACGCGCATTACCACAATCCGACTTGAGAGTGAGGTGGCAGACAACCTGGACGACGGCTTCGATAGCTACATGGCTATGATGACCAGCGTGCAGGCGTGGCAGCAGAGGGCAACAAACCACATGCGCAAACAACTCGAGGACAGCCAGGAAGCTGTAATAGAAGTAACAACAGACTTTGAAGTCGTCTTGGACATGTTGCGAGTTATTATGGCTGCAGCCGACCGCAGGATCGGCGAGTTGGAGGTGCAGCTTTCTGTGCCAGCCCAGTACACCGCCGGAGGTTGTAGGCGGAGGGAAAGGGAGTTAGAAGCCGCAAAGACCGTCCGAGGACATGCGGTTACTGCGTCGAGTAGGATTGGCGAGGTGGTCAAATGTTTGGGTGGCCGAGTCGAGGAGTTGTCGCGGAAGATTGATGCTATTCAGCCCAACCGCACCAACTGCGCCGCCGCCTAGGCGCAGGGTAGGTATGCAGGGGATGGCGCACGCTTCTCTGTCTCTCTTTCTTTTATTTGTCAAAGTCCCTTTTGTGGAATAGAAAATTTGAATGCTTTCCTATCTTTCTCTTGCAATGCACGCCCTTGAATGCAGGTGTACAAAAAGCAAAAGTTGCAAGCACAGTACCCATGAGCCTGCGTGGAGAGGAATTGATGACGATTTTCGCGCTAAAAATCGTCACCTCCCCTTCTGTTCCACCCCACTCCTAGTGAGGAAAGCCTATAAGCATCAGCGCTGATGGGCGGGCATTGGGCTCGCATCATCCACTTAATTCCTCTATCCAGCACACTTACACATTCTGGCACGTTCAACCCACACAGTCATCCGCCCTATTCTAGTCTCATCTTCTTCACTGGCCATTCATGTTAAGAACAACACAACAGCTCCTGAGACAAGGTGGAAAGTTCACTTTCGATCACCGCATCGGCAATTCATCACACTGCAGACGCATCCTCACTTAAGCTTCATTGCTATGCGGTGTGCAACAGTCTTTTCACGAACTATGAAAGCCACATCACATTTAAGCATCGCAATACCGTAAGATTATATTTCTCTGCGCCATGTTGATGGCTAAGAGGATCCCAGCAAGAAAACCTCTTGACGTATGAGGCTCTGGGTATTATGGGAGCATGCGGCAGCTGACAACTAGAATCTTGCCACCGTCCTCAGCCTGTTGTGACGGCGATTTTAACCTACGACATTTATCGTTGTCGATGCCTGTTGTTCTCATCAACTGGTGTTTTTTCTGACGGGTCAACTTGAAAAACTCATGCAGGGCCTAATTTTTGTTCCTTTTTTCTCAGATTCAAGAGCCACCTTCGTCTATCTTTGGTTTTCTGGACTTGCGTTTCAATCTAGTTGCCGTTCGGTTTTACTAAAAATCCACGAAACTAGACAATGAAACGAATCTTTTGTGACTTTTCACAGCGAAACGAAGTGTACCTTGTCGTCGATCAACACAGCGTGAGCTACATAGTTGGAATCCCGGGTTGCAGTGGCTCCATGGCCACCTAAACCGCCGGCTGCCGGCAGGAGGCCTCACGTAGGTAGTCGACCCCATCGGGCAAATAGAAGATAATGTCTTTTCTCACAATCTCTGCTTCAGCCACAAGTGACGGACTCAACATTGCTACTCAATTAAGTCGTGCATCAGATGAGTTTCAAGAGCGAGTGTGTTTCTATAGCGTCGTTGATCTCCGAGAAGGCAACATGAGACTGTGAAGAGCTAACTGGATTAAGTCGGCAATGTGGAATGAAGGTACTCATGCAGCCTAGCCTTGTTTGCTGCTTTGGGGCAGGCTATTAGCAACATTGAGGTGCAGCAGAAAAAGTGATCTATTCTGCCAACCTTATCTCGCCGTGTCGCATTAATCTACGGCTTCTCTTGGTGTTGCAGTTTAGTTCCAGTGATTTATTTTCTAGCTGATGTTCGAAGTGTGGTAGGTCACATCCTCAACAGGTAGCAGTTGACTGACAAACGCTGAAACACGCTTCCATCTCCTCCGTTAGCACACCAACTTTTACGTCCAGCCTAAATGCCGCAAATTTTTATTATTACATCAACTAGAGGGTAATTAGGGCGAGTTTGGGCAACACACTCTTCGTTTCCAGGGCCTTAATATCTCACTTCCCAGATGCATTACTCACGCGCCAGCCCATAGTGGTAGTACAATAGGTAAGCGCAAATCTGGCACCAACAACCACTCAAATGCCTATGAATGATCGACCGAAACGCATCATGTCACACAAGGAAACTCCACTTCCATCAGGCTCTATCAGAGCTAAAGATGAAGCCAAGGAGCTTGCGAAAACTTTTGATATGGCGTAAAGAAATTGGCAGCCAAATCTCCTGGCATCAGCAAATGTATCATTCAATCCCTGTGACCTTGCTTGGTTAGTATGATGTGGCGAAGTGTTTGCCAGCCCGGTACCAGCGTTTAGCAGCATTCACAAGTACTAGTTGCACTTCAGTCCAAAACCCCTTGTTCAACAACCTAGGGCCATTGCCACCACTCGTACGTCAAGAGCACCCCTCTAGGTTCGACCCCCTTCGATCTTCTTATGTGACACTTGACAGCAAGCGATGCACACTAACTCCCGTATGTTACGTGCTTACGTTTGGCTTGACGATTGATAACATGTTAACATCAGTGTCATCTCCTTTTCTGGTCGTGCCACAGGGGTAGTGAAGTCTTGGGGAACATTGCTTGATGAAGGGCAAGATTATCGCCAGAAGAATCGTAGATTCTCGGCCGGTCTAGAAAAGCTGAATCTTGACGCGTCTCCCATGCACATCCGTATCTTCCATCTTCAGCCACCTCACCACACATGTCTTCAAGAATCTACGACCCACACAACCACTCTAAGGACAAAGAGATTCATGCTTCTTAGCCCGGTTCATATGATCTTAAAGTTGGAATCCAAGGCATATGAGGCTACAAATCCAACAACCGTGTAGATCTAGCCGTGATCTTAACATCAGAGGAGTGTACGACAGCTATGGGAGAGATTTGAAAATGATGGAAAAACACTGCTAGTTTGTCGCCCCAGGGATGCCGTTGCAGTGTTTTTCTGGATGCCAAGGAACCGGCCTGTTACTTTCTTTGATTTGAAGAGTAACAATAGGGATTTCTTACAAATTTGAAGAGATCATGCAGCAGAGGAAGATGCTACACTTGGATAGCAACTTTGATGAAATTTCGAACCATCTATCTATTATCATCTCTTTAATCCTTGACAGGACTACATGGGCGTCATAACAACAGCAACACTGCGACTCTTCCGTGGCCCGTCCTCGCCGTTTTATTTTTCACCAACACTGCCGCCTGCATCACCCCTTTAGCAACTCAAACCCAGTGCGCAGTAGCAAGGATATGGATCCTGCTGAGAATTCGTCTTACATATTCGGCCTGTAAGAAGGCGCGCAGAAACACATCAAGTTCCACAATTTGCTAGACCGCCAAGATTTGTTATCCTACTTATTGGTTAATAGCATAGCAGCGCTACTTGGTAGAAGTCGTTGTCGTCTAAGGGGTTTGTGGCCGAGGCAGTTTCCTTGGTATTCTGACTTTGAAAAGAAAGAGTGTCGAGACACAACCCAAACAAAGTTGAAGGAGTTTTATGCGTCGTTCTCGCTGGTTCGCTACAGAACCACTGCTTTGTCGTCTACTTCACTATCCTCCAGCGCTAGGGATGTTTTTGTTTCCATGTCCAAGAATCAACCCCTTGCTCTTCGTTGGCCAAACATAATTATCTCTTATTGTTTTTGTTTCCATGTCCAAGAATCAACCCCTTGCTCTTCGTTGGCCAAACATAACTCTTATTACAAGCTACGCCAGGCCATCGTAGTGCCGTATAGACAGAGGATCAAAGGAAGGGTTCTGGCCAAGACAGCCATGTGCCATGGATGTACTTAGCTTGAAGGCAATGTACACGATGAGTTTGAAGACGATGCTGACAATAAAAACCACCATATTCGCCTCATGTACCCTGTGATCTAAACGCTCGGCTCCATTTCATCCAACGCGTGAATCTTCTCAAGATTGGAAAACCAGTCCTGCATCTGCTAGAAATTCCAGAAGACGCAGAGTCGGGAAAGATGGTCAATGTGTCTGACAGTGCAGGCGATGGTGAAGAGATACTTATAAACTACACAGGATACCAAACTTGACACGCTCTTCTCTCGTAGAACGCTTGTCAATGACGTCGACATCACAACATTGGGCGGGCTTCTTCACTTTGGGATTCTTGAGGATGCGAATTACGTCTCATGTCATGGAGTGCCGGAAACTTGGAGTGTTGCTCAAGAAGTTAACAGTAATAGCAGCTCGTACTCAGCATGGCGATGTCCAACTTGCTTGAAACTACGAAACAATAGGCAAATTCACAGTGGTAGTGAATAAATACGGTGACAAATGATTATTATATGTTGTTATGATCTTTTAAAACGCAAACGAACAACCTTTCATAGCCAAACTTTTACTCATCGAACATTGGATCATCTCGAATCAAGCATAATCATTTATTTGAGTAGTCCTCTGAGTCAGGCGAGGTTATTGAACTTGGTGGTGCAACAGAAACTGGTTTCTGGAGGTATCAGAAAGTCTACTAAAAAGTGTTGACAAAGTCATGCCTCTTGAGGCGCGTCAGCCAGACTCCTATCATGGTTACAATTCTCCATTCGAGCTGTAGCATATCTCTCTTTTGTCAGGACTGGTATGTCTCTTGAAATTGTTCCTGAAGACGCCGTAGGATTGTGGTCTCTTATGTTCCTAACTGCTGTTGATGGGCTCCACGGTTCGAACTGAAGGGATGATCTACGCCAACTGGTCAGTCAATTTTCAGCGACAGGGACAGTCACAAACACAGAATGAGCAGTACACAGATTCAGGTTGTTGACATACGTCAACAACCAGCTTTGACTCATCACTATCAACTAGACAACCTGGTGGGAGCAGCAAAGTGTTCCATAAATCTCCTGCGTAGGAGCTCAAAAAGGCCCACTGACCTGCGTACTATATGCCTATCTGCAACTCGGTCTTGTACAACTGCTCCCCACGGTGTTTCACCTCAACACTAATGGCGATTTGGTATTCGCAGACAGCTTCGTAGTCGTTTTGGTTCACGGCGTTCAAAAGTAATCGGTTACGCAAGCCATTGATGTCAGGTATTATTCAGTGCTTTGATCTTGTCTGGTGCCGTGAGTTTCATTCCCCAGAAGACCAACATGTCGCCACAATAAGTTGGCCGTTAAAGACTCGGGGTTTGGCCAACGGCGATGACTTCTTGGCACTTTTGGGTTGGCCGAAAGTTTACTTACAAATATCAGCTGCAACTTCTCATGCTATGAGGGCACGAGGAAAATAGCGGACAGAGAGGGTGTGGCCGTGCCCAGGTGGCGCACTTCCACTTGTCACGCGACAAATCCATCCGCCAAATTCATCCGCCAGGTTCATCCG